TAAGTTTTCAACTTCATGCTGTTGTTCTCCTCCCTCTGGCACCCCTGTGAGTCTGATGTTGGAACATTTAAAGTTGTCCCTGAGGTTCCTAAGTCCCTCCTCATTTTTTTGAATTCTTGTTTCTTCATTCTGTTCCAACTGGATGTTTATTTCTTCCTTTTATTCTAAAGCATTGAGTCCTGGTTTCCTTCTCTTCACTGCTGGTTCCCTGGATAACCTTCATTTTGTCCTTCATTTTACCCCCAAGCTCAATCAGTTCTATGAGCATCCTGATTACCAGTGTTTTGAACTCTGCATCGAATAGACTGGATAACTCCTTGTTGCCTAGCTCTTTTTCTTGAGCTTTGATATGTTCTTTCATTTGGGCCATATTTCTTTGTCTCCACATGCCTGTTATGTTTTAAGGGGTGGGGCCTTAGGTATTGGCCAGGACAGGGCAGCCCTCTTGGCTGCACTGTGGTGCTCTGTCCGGGAGGGGCCAGAGAGGGAACAAGGCACCTCACTTGCTCCTTTCTAGCCCCACTTTCCAACAAACTCTCCTGTGAGACTGGGGGTTTCTCCCACCACGGCCGCCCCCGCAGTAATTTACAGCTGGCTTTGAGTCTTAGTTTCCCATTCAGTCAGCCCCACCTGGCCCATTCACTGCCTAGCTGCGAGTTTTCTCTGCTTGGCCGCCCGTCTCCCGTCTTCTCCTACAGGTCTGAGTATTTCTTTAATTAATTGTTTATTGGAGTTCCATGCAGTTTGATTTTTTAGCACTTCTGGTTGTTTATTGTTTTTAGATTGTTTGATATCCTCTTTTGGTTGTGCAAGGAAGCAAAGTGTTTCTACCTCTGCCTCCATCTTGGCCAGAACTCTTTATTCTAATTCTTTGAGTATGTAAAACATTAATGAGATTCAAGAGTCAAAACTAACAAAAAGTATACTAGAAGTGACTCTCTTATTTCCAATCCTTCCATCCTATCTATAGCTAACCCATTTCATTATTTCAGTTTTATTTCTCCTTTATTTTTGCAAAAATAGGCATATGGATATATTTTTTTATCTCTTCTCTTTTACATTTTAATTAAAGGTTAACACACATTTAGAAAAGTGCACAACTAAGAGTACAAATTGGTACACTGAACTCACTCTCCTATGTGACCAGCACTCAGATCAAGAGAAAAAACATTGCCGGCTCCTGGAGAAACCTTCTTATCCCTCTTCAGCCAGTATTCCCCACCAAGGGGCATTTGACAGATCAGAATTACAGAACCTCAAAGGCACCAACGGTACTCATTGGAAGTACAGCTGGCCAATATGAGAACCGTGGCTCAAACTGGGCGAGGCCCTGCAGAATCCAACTCACTGTATATAATCCTGGCTTCTAACACCATGGGTTAGTTTTGCACGTTTCTGAACTTTTTGTAAATGGAAATGTAACTATATCATGTGTATCCTTTTGTTTGGCTTCTTCAGCCCAATGTTGTGCTTTGTGAGATTCAGTCATGTGACTCTGTATAGCTGTGGTTCATTCACTCATTGCTATATTCAGTTGGAAGAATACTTTATCCATTCTAATGCTGATGGACATTTGGGTTGTTCCCAGTTTGGGACCAATACAAATAATACAATTGGCAGTGTGGATGAATTTTTAAAAACCCTTAGAACCCTGGCCAGCATGGCTCAATTGGTTGGGCATCATCTCGCAAAGCAAAAGATTGCCAGTTCGATTCCCAGCCAGGGCACAGGCTGGGGTTGTCAGCCGGGTCCCTGGTTGGGGATCTCAGAGGCAAAGGAGCAATGTTTGTCTCTCTTACCGATGTTTCTCTTCCTCTCTTTCTCCCTACCTTCCCCTCTCTCCAAGTAAATAAAATCTTTAAAAAATGTATTTGCTTACATAGTGTATTTTAAGAACGTTATTTCATTGTCTTCTGGCACAAAGCATTATTAACAAAATTTTATATGACAGTCCTGGCTGGTGCAGCTCAGTGGATTGAGCGCAGGCCTGCGAACCAGAGGATCTCTGTTCGATTCCCAGTCAGGGCATATGCTTGGGTTGCAGGCCAGTTCCCAGGAGGGGACCCATGAGAGGCAACCATACATTGATGTTTCTGGCCCTCTCTCCTTCCCCTCTAAAAAAGATAAATTAAAAAAAAAACAGTAAAAATAAATTTAAAAATTTATATGACAATCTGATTTTTTCTTAGACTCTTTTTTTTTTTTACCTGAATGCACAAAGAATCTTCTTTTAAAAATTCTTAGTTTTGCCCTGGCCAGTGGCTCAGTTAGTTAGAACTTGTCCCTACACCAAAAAATGCTTGCAGGTTCGATTCCTTGTCAGGACCCACACCTAGGGTGCAGGTTTAATCAGTTGGGGCATGCACAGCAGGCAAGCAATTGATGTTTCTCTCTTTCTCCCTCTCTTCCTCCCTCCCTAAGGTCAACAAACATTTCCTCAGGTGAGAATTAAAAAGTCTCATAGTTTTTATTTGAATATGTTTTAAACTTTTACATCTTCATTTTGATTTTAACATTCATCTCTTTTATTTTCTCTATATTTTTTAGATTTTTATTCAACTTCATGTTCCTCCTACTTAATCTTTATCTCTTATTCTTTCCTGAATTCTATCACCTATCATTTTACTAATTTTTCCACTAATTTTGAAATAGTAGTTTGCACTTTCAGCCCTTTTGTGGGCACCTCTTTCTGGCATGCTTTCATTCCCTGAAGGGATATATTCTGCGCCATATTCTCTTTTATCTTTCCATATACATTTCACTATTGCTCATCTTTATGAAGTTAATTTTCTTAAACTTTTAGGAAGTACTGAATACAATTTCCAGCTTCATCCTCTACAGCTCCCTCGTTTTTATGAACTACTTTAATAAAATGGCCCCGAACTTGCTCTAATCTCTTGGCTCTGTTTACCTCACACACTTTTATCTGAATCTTCTCTTTCTTCCTCTCATATTGTCTGTCCTGCTAAATTTGAATTCTGCTCCCAAGTTTCTCTTCATCACAGAACACTGTTTTGTATGAAAGTGTACACTTGTTAGATTCAAGAATGTATAAGGCCCAGACTTCTGCAAGACCTTCTAAAATTTGCCCTCACTTGCAAATCAATTATATGGGAGCTACCCCTGTTTCACCTCCAGACTTGGATTTCCAGTGAGTACCTTCAGGGTATCTTGGATTTTCCCATCTCACCTCCATCTGACTTCTCATTGTTCCCCCTGCTCCCCTCTGTCCAGTTAGGAACAGTTGACAACACCTACTTGTATTTGGACCTTTGTGGGGGATACTTTGTCTTGATTGTGTTGTGCACATTGCCTGTGGGTTTTGGGTTATGCTATCTTAGGGGAGGATTATGGGAAAATCCAGGTAGACTAAAAACTATACTATATTCACTTCCATCATCTTTCCAGAACTGATAACTGGGTATTTTGTAAAACTCCTCAGTGACTTTCCTGCGCCACCAGGGTTGAGTCCCAACTGCTGATTATGCCTTTAATGACCCTTTATTCCTCAGGATCCAGCCTCCACTGCCCCTCTCCTCCTACTCTTCTGGTCTCCCTTGGTAGTCTCACCCTCTTCAAACTCTGTCTACATGAGGATGACCACAAAATCCCAATTGCTTTCCCCAACATCAGACTCATATTCACTGCATTGCTCCCAGGGGGAGCTTGGACCTAATGTGTTCACGTTTTCTCCTCTGTATGTTCCATAGCTCACTTGTTCCAGACAGAAACCATACCAGCCTCTCCTTCCTAAACCCCGGTATCTAATTAATCACCAGGCATTCTTATTTAAATTCTCCACCGCCATGTCTGTGGAATCTTCCAAATCTCCATCTTCACAGCTACTTCTGTGGTTGACATCACCAACTCTAAATTACTGCACTTTATTCTTAACTGGTAACGAAATTTTTGAAATATTCTTTAACTAGTCATTCTATTGCTCGCCTGAACAGTTTTCCTATGACAACAAAAATGACATTTCTGGTCACCTCATCAAACTTGCTTAAAAACCATGATTTCCTGTTGGATGTCCTTAGACTAAACCACTGTATTCCTAAGACCTGTAGGTTCTGGTTCTGTTTAAATATTCCCAGTTTTCCCATGTCCATCTCACACCCAAATCTAGTCATATGGAAGGTCTTGCAGTTACCCCAGGCCTTGGCACAGGCTATTCTTAACCAAAATGCCTTCAAACCCACCCCTGGCTCCCACAGGTAACTCGCCTCTAACTTCTGTAGATTCTAATGTCATTTCACGTTCTCTCTTCCCACCTGACTTACCCTTTAAATCTGTGATGGGTGTTCCTTTGACACCAGCTACTCCCGACACAGCACTGCTTGCTGGGAAAGAGGCGGAAGAACGTGCAATCTTTAGTACACATTAGACCCTCAATTACTAGCCGAAAGTGGCTAGGGTGACTGATAAGACAGCCAGGGGCTCTTGACTATAAATTGGTCCTAGTGTCCGTTAACGACAATGTTAATCCAGGGTTGTATTTTCCCTCTTGACATTATTTACATTCGATAATAAAAAGATAGTTCTCTTTGACAGCAAGACATTTATTCAGCATTCATGGCTAAAAATGCTAGACAAAGCACCCAAACCCCTGCTCTCTGAACTTTAAAGTGATAATGCAATTTTACGTGTTCTGATATTAACTATTCTGTTCAAAGCACAATGCCTTGGGTTCTGCTGACACTAACCTCAAAGTACGTTTCATGAATTTACAAAGCCATCTGTTTCCTCTAGGCTGAGAGGATCCAGATAGGGGCACGTGCAGCGGATACAAGAAAGTGAGACCCAGGGAGCAGTACTTTGACTTGGAACTCCACCCCGTACTCCCTGCTGAGAACCCCAGTGGCCCGGCGGAATCTGGGACAGGAGAGCCAGACTGCCTTCCGACCCGCCTTCACTTTTAGACCTGCCCCCGAGCCCCGCCTCGCGGCCCCCTTCCGACCCGCCCCCACCCTGGCCCCGCCCCCACACGCCCGCCCCACTTCCCACGGTCCTGTTCCTCCTCCAGCTGCCGCCCGACCCGGGCTTCCCGGACCCGAACACCCACGCCCCGGGGCGGAGCGGCACAGGTGCCGCGGCCGAGCCTAGTGGCCTCATCGTCAAGATGGCCGCCGCGCGCCGCCGCCCGCCGGCCTGGGCTCTGCTGTTGCGCGCCGCGCTCTGCCTGCTGTGCTGGGCCCCGGTGGCCGTGCGCGCCGTCCCCGAGCCTGGGCTCTGGACAATGACGGTCAGCGACGTAAGTGGTACCACTCCGCCCGGCGTCCCCGGGCAGGCTCCGTCCCGCGGGGGGCCCCTCTTCTGCCAGCCGGGGAGTGGGGGTGATGGGTCCGTCCACGCGGGGGTCAGCTGCTCCGTAGCCCTGTCAGGCCTCGTCTGCGGACGGACCCCCCTGGCCACCGTGTTCAGCGACATCCCGGACCGCTCTCCGGGCTGTTCGCAGGCCACACCGCGAGGCTACGCAGAGGAGTCCAGCTCAGTTCCGGCAGAAAGGAGAAAGCGCGCCTGCCGCTTCCGCTTTGTCTGTATATGGGAGGGGTACCCGCCAGAGCCACCCACCGGAGCCACCCAGCCCCTTCCCTATTCTTGGGGCCCAGAGTTCCGCAGTGCTAGGAGCGGAGGTGTGCGGTCCGCGCGTCTGGGGGTTAGGCTGCAGGCCGCAGTCAGTGGGAACTCCCCCTCCGGGACAGGCGTCTCAGCGCTTGTGTCCAGCGGTTACGGGATGTGATGTGGGATGGCTGGGCAAGCGCAGGAGGTAGCATTTTTGGAGAGTCTTGTTAAAACTGGACTGGAAAACGAGAGGAGGTGTTATCTCTAAATGGGATGACTCGACCAGCTCTGACGTATTTCCCACACCCATGGAAATGATGTCCAAGTTGTAAAGGCAGAAACTCATATTTTGGTGTTCTCAACCAGAAAAAGTAGTATCAGAAACTGGGCTTCCTACAACATAAAAGCTGCAGTTAAGAACGAAAGTAGCTGTCTTAAGAATCTTTACGACCCAGGGCAACCATTTCTAACAGGATCCTTGTGGGTTGGTGCCCCCTCATGTGCCGCAATGGTAGAGCCTGCACATCTCTGTTGCGTTTCTCTGATTAGTAAGAAGCAAAGCTCAGAGAACCATACTCAGCTTCTGAAGTGAAAGGACAGTGTCATTAACCTAAGGCAGTGAACAATATTGGAAGTGAATCAGCTGCATACAGATTGTTAAACGACGTGACTATATCTATCAGGATCTTTGCCAGGGATACTTGGATGGTGAAACTCCAAAGGCCGCGGAGAAAGAATGACTTTGATTCCTGCCTGAAGAAGAGACGCTTTTCCTTGGTCCCACACAATTTGTAGTCCTGTGTGACTCAGGTCAGGAGCAGTCCATAAGCCCTTCTTTGCAAAGAATAGGCTGAATATTTTTCCTATTTCAAGGTGTCAGAACCTGTTCTTCAGATCCTGAGAGTGCAGCTTCCTTTCATTCATACTATAAATCTGTTTGATGATGGTTTTGATTGTAAAGATCAGCAAATAGTTTAAGCACCTACTGTGTGCCATGCACTGTAGGTGTTGCACCTTTGCTGTTGCAAAGGTGGATTTCAGAAAACAGTTCCTTTTCTCACAAAGCCCATACTGTAGGGACAGCAGTTTCCTGAGTAGGAATCACGTACATGCTGGCATTCTTAGGATATTACATGAGCTCTAAGGAATCACCCAATCCCACTTTCTGGAGTGAGTGGCTGGCTGAGTCTTAAAAGATGAGTAGGTGTCACCTTGGTGAAGAAGGAGTGAGTAGAGCAGCAGCATTGAAAAAAAAATCGGTATTGTTTCTGCTGAGTGCTGTTATGTCAGGAGTGTTGCAGGAGACTCAGGCCACCATAAGATAAGTCTTCTGTGTCTTAGCTTAGCCTTGAACCTGATGCCAGGAGTCTAAACTGAAGGACCTGAGAGGGCTGAGATAAGTAGTATTAATGAGTGAAGTGAGCTGGGTTCAGGACTGGAGGGAGTACTAGGGGGTGCAGTGGACTAAGGTCGCATGCCCCTTATGAAAAGGGTAGCTGCCATTCAGCCTCACTGATGGATACTGTATGGCGGGCTAGGCATGAATTGCCAGGTGTACTTTTTTAAAAGTCAGAACCCATATTTGTATTATGTCAGTGAATTAAAAACTTTTTTAAAAGGGCCCCTCTTGGGCTAACCCCCCCCCCCCAAAAAAAACATTTATAAGTTGGGTTATGCCCCCAGGCCACTAGTAGCACCTTTTGGGGGTGAATGAGGGAGAGCCATTGAAGGACTGAGTAAACCGAGCTTTGAGAAAGCTCCACTGTGGTTGGTATCTAAGGATCAGATCTGGAGGCAAAGGTACCAGTTAATTTATTGCAGAAGTGGAGGCAGAACATGTTGAGCAGTGGTAGCAGGAATGGAGAGCAAGAGCTAAGTTTGGGGAGTGTTTACGAGATAAATAGACATGTCTTGGGGGGTGGGCAATGGAGGTGAGAGGTAACTGGAAGGAGCCTTGGTGACTGGATGGCTTCATCTACAGCCAAAATGGATAGTCCCAGAAGAGGTGGTGAGGAGTATGTATGGTTTAGGGAAGGCTGGTATGGAATGTGTGTTGGGAATCTCAGTGAACATGACCGTTAGGCAGTTGGGTACGTGGATCTGGCACTCAGAGGATGGATCTGGGCTGTGGGTTTTATTGTTGATCGGGGCTGGGGAGTCTGTTTATTTATAGTTATTGTTGAAACTATGTTGGGGAAGGTGGAGGGGTTTTCAGGAGAGAGCTGCCTGTTTTATTTTTCTTTCATTCCTAACCACTTGTTGATTTAACACAGTCCCTTCTCACTGCATTTTTATTCTTGGTGAGGGCAGACATCTAACAACTAACACATACATTATCCAGTTTTAGTTGTGAAAAGCGTTGTAAAGAAGAATGGGTCCTAGAGACCATATAAGGGAGGGCCTGGCCTGGTGTGGGGAATGGTGGAAGACTTCCTGAAGAAGGGACTTTGGAACTGGGCTTTGGAGGGTAAGAAGGAATTAATGAGGTGAAGAAAGAGGGACAGGGAAGGGTTTTTAAGCACATTTTTGAGTGGAAGGAATATCATGCTTTGGAGGAGCTGAAAGAAAGGTCCTGGCCCTGATGATGGAGGATGGTGCGAGCTGCAGTTTGTCACTGGTCTGCTGTAAGTGCTCAGTGTGGAAAAGGGCTGGGTGTTTCACCAGAAGTACTGTCACCTATATACCAACCGCAGGTGCACGGTGGTACACTGGCAGCAGCCCTCACCTCCCAGGTGTTGCTGGCTCCTGACTGTGACGCTGGTGGCAGGGGCATTCCAGAGCTTCCTGTCAACTGCAGGGAGGAGATACATGGGCAAGGGTTGAAACAAATGAGTGATGTGATCAGATTCATATTTTTTAAAAGTAATTACTCTGGTCATAGGAGGACAGCAAGGATTAGAACTACATGTTTTCCAGAGTAAAGCTATATTCTTGGAAACAGTAGGGAAGAAAATTTTAACATGATTTTTCTATGTTGTTTTTCATTTTAGAAATCAGGGCCTTTGATATTTAGGAAAATTATGTTTAACTCAACTGATATCAAGTTTTCTGGTAAGTCTTATAAAGTAACGATACTAATATAACACTATATTATAGATAAGTAACATGTAAATGTGTTATGAATTAATACAGTAATATCAGCATTTATAATAGTATTGTATTTTATAAGCTAGGCAGATGTTTTGTTTTTAAGCGGTTCCAACATTTTAAAGGTTTCTTTTGTTTCTGTCAAGTCTTGCTTATTTTCAAGAATAGGTTTTTCTGTCTCAGAATATGTAATATGATCATTCTTTAAAAATTATAATTGAAGTCTAATAAAATTGGCTTCAGCAAAAAAAGTATTTGACGTCTGTGAAATTTAACTCTAGATCTCAGCTTTTAAAACTAGATAAATTCCTTTTATGAGTATATGAAATGTCATAATTGCGATAAAACCTTTATGCCCCTTAAAATTTGTGAAATACATATATTTGATAATAGTCTAAATAAAAAGTCCAAGAAGCTAACATTTCCATTAGGCGTTTAGGGCTTGTGAAAGTGAAAATATTTGTGAGGGACTGTGTTGTTGTGTGAACACTGCGGTGCGAGGATTACCAAGTCACAGGTCTTGAGATTTTCAATGTTTTTAATGAGTTTAAGTTGGTTCATATTTAATGTGGTCCAACTTCCTCTTTGTGTTTCCATAACTTGACTGGGTAATTTGTTTACCAGGGTTACAGTTTTGGGCTAAGGAGGCATTTTGGGGGGGTAACGCAGAGAGGCTTCCTGGGAATCTAAAGGCATGAGCACTTTCGCTGTCACTCCACGCTCTGGTCGTTTGTTGGCTGAGTCTGCCTTACATGGGTCTCTGTTGAGGGAAGTGAGCTGGCCATCAGCTACAGAGCAGAGGTGGTTCAAAGCAGCCTGGTGATATCAGATCATCCGTGTTGATAGGAGCTGGTTAAGAGGAAATTGAAGTCCAAGATGGGTGAAGAAAAAACTTTGGCATCTGATTGCTTTAATGAATTTATGTCTCAATATCTAGACGAATAAGGTTTAAAAGACTGGTATAAAGAAGTTATATAGAGAAGAAAGTTACATGGACCAGTGAGACACAGAATTTGATTTTTAAAAAAAGTCAGTATAGCCTGGCTCAGTGGATTGAGTACCAGCCTGCAAACCAAAGGGTAGTGGGTTCAATTCCCAGTCAGGGCACATGCCTGGGTTGCGGGCCAGGTCCCCAGGAGGGGGCGTGCAACAGGCAACCACACATCAATGTTTCTATCCCCTTCTTTCTCCCTTCCTCCCTGTCTCTCTAAAAACTAAATAAAATCTTAAAAAAAAAAAAGTCCATACATAATGTCAGAGATCAGCCTAAGAGTAGACCACAGTCAAGACATCTGAAGAAAGCATGAGCAGCAGGAGTTAGGAGCAAAAGCGTTAAGACATGTGGCTAGCAGGTGTGGAAGTAGCATCTGCCTGAGCCTCCTTGTTCTGGTGCCATGCTCACCAAGCAGCCGTCTCATCACCATCGGTCATCCAGGGTGGCATGCTAACAGGAGAGAGTTAGTTCATTATTACCCATTCATTTCTTTTTTTTTTTTAGGTCTGCATTCAATCAATCTAGGTTTATTTTTTTTAATTATATTTTATTGATATGGTATTACAGTTGCCCCAGTTTTTTCCCCTTTACTCCCCTCCACCCACAGCCCCCACTCCCTCAGGCAATCCCCACACCATTGTTCACGTCCAAGGGTCATGGGTACAAGTTCTACAGCTTCTCCATTTTCTATACTGTACCTTACATCCCCATGGCTATTCTGTAACTACCTATTGGTACTTCTTAATCCCCTCACCTCTTCACTCATTTCCTCACACCCACCTCCCACCGGGCAACCATCAAAATGTTCTACGTATTCATGATTCTCTATTCTTCTTGCTTGCTTAATTTGTTTTTTAGAGTCAGTTGTTGATAAGTGTGTGTTTATTGCCATTTTATTGTTCATAGTTTTGATCCGTTCCTTTAAAATTTCATATAATAATGGTTTGATAATGATGAACTCCTTTAGTGTTTTCTTCTCTGGAAAGCTCTTTATTTGCCCTTCAATTCTACATGATATTTGCTGGGTAGAGCAGTCTTGGCTGTAGGTCCCTGCTTTTCATGACTTCGAATACTTCTTGTGAAACCCTTCTAGCCTACAAAGCTGCTTTTGGGAAATCAGCTGACAGTCTTATAGTAAGCAACTGTAGATAACCAACTGTTTTTCTCTTGCTGCTTTTAACATTCTCTGTTTAACTTTTGGCATTTTAGTTATGATGTGTCTTGGAGGGGGCCTTTTTACATCTATCTTGTTTGGGACTGTCTGTGCTTCCTGGCCTTGCATGTCTATTTCCTTCACCAAATTAGGGAAGTTTTCTTTCACTATTTTTTCAGATAGATTTCCAATTTCTTGCTCTTCTGGCACCCCTATGATGTGAATGTTGGCATGCTTGAAGTTGTTCCAGAGGCTCTTTAAACTTCCTCATTTTGGGGGGTGGGGGGATTCTTTAACCTTCTTGTTGTTGTGATTGGTTATTTTTTGCTACCTTATGTTCCAAATCATTATTTGATTCTTAGCTTCATCCACTCTACTGTTGTTTCCTTGTAAATTGTTCTGTATTTCAATTAGTGTATCCTTCATTTCTGACTGTGTCTATTTTTATACTGTTGAGGTTCTCACTAAGTTCCTAGAGCATCTTTATAACCAGTGTTTTGAATTCTGCATCTGCTAGATTGCTTACCTCCTTTTGTTTAGTTCTTTTTCTGGAGTTTTGATCTGTTCTTTCATTTGGGCCATGTTTCTTTGTCTCTTCATTTTGGCAGCCTCCCGTGTTTGTTTCTAAGTGTTAGGTAGAGCTGCTATGACTCCCTGCCTTGGTAGCATGGCCTAATGCAGTAGGTGCCCTATAGGGTCCAGTGGCACAGCCTCCCCTTTCACCCAAGCTGGGTACTTGAGGTGTGCCCTTCATGTTGCCTGAGTACACCCTCCTGTAGTTGAGACTTGCTTGCTGTTGGCAGATAATGGGAGGGAATTACCCAGGCCAGTCACCTGCAAGGACTGGCTATAACCACGGACCACCAACCTTCACCCTCTGTGGAGGGTAAGCTGTGCAGGGGCACGGTCATGGTGCTCCAGTGTAGTCTGTAGCTGTCTGCTGGATGCACCAGCTATGGGTTTTCCCTGGTGTGCAGGCCAAGGTGAACCCCCACCTATGTTCTGCCCAGGTCTACCCTGTCTGAGTTATAAAGCAATCTGAGAAGGCTGCTACTTGTGCTGGGCTAGGAGATTCCCAGCTATGGCCAAGCTGTGAATCTAGGCTGGCTGCTGTTAGTGCTGGGCCTGGGGCCACTTAGCTGTTTCTTGTTTGATAGGATTTAAGAAGTTGTGAAGCATGAGCTAAGACCAGCTATTTATATGAAAAATTGTGGTTAACAGTCTTGGTGGGCCAGTAAGTTGGGTAGGACAAACTCCCTGGGGCTATCCAGGGCAGGGCCAACAAGTGTTAGCCAGGTAGATGGAATCTCAGATATGGCTCTGTGGATCTTGGGGGGAGGGCTCAGAAAAGTGACAATGGCCTCTACTTGCATTTCTGTCTGGGAGAAAGCTGTCCCCCAGCTCCCACCTTGATGCCAGACACTTCGATTCCTCCCTGTATGCCTTTCAAGCTACTACACCAGTGGTGCTGCAGCCAGAAGGGTTGTGTACATCCATGTGTGAGTTCTTTAAGAGGAACTGCTTGGGACTCCAGAAGTTTCTTCCACTGACTCAATCCTCCCCTGGTTTTTACAGTCAGAAGTTATGAGGACTTATCTCCCTGGCACTAGAACCCTGGGCTGGGGTCCTAGTGTGGGGCTGGGACTCCTCTCTACTGAGAAATCCCTCCTGAATTTTTTCTACTGCACATGGATGTGGGACCAGCCCATTCCACATCTCCACCCCTACTACTAGTCTAGATGGATGTGGTCTCTTTATTCTGTAGTTCTCAGACTTCCATTGAACTTGATTTCTGATAGTTCTGAGTGCTGGTTGTTCTATATTTTAGTTGTAATTTTGATGTGGTTGTGTGAGGAGGCGAGCCATGTTTACCTGTGCTGCCATCTTGACCAGAAGTCACGCTTCCATTTTCAGTTACCGTTTATTTTAAGGGAGCAGTTGGATGTTCTAGTTTATACATCTGCTTTGGTGGTGTGGTGAAGGCCTGAGTCTCAGTATTTTCACAGAGTCCATTTTAGTGCCTGCAAGCTAAGAATTGGGTTGTTTGGTATGTGGCCGTATTGTTTGGCGGATCAGACTTCTGACTTTCTTTTAGGTGACCACTCATTTGCTGTCTCATTTAAGATACCGTCATATAGAGCTACTGTTGAACATTTCTCAATGTAATTATATTAACAATAAAAGAAATATGCTATATAGTCATTCAATATATACAGAAAAGTATTAGGAAAAACTTAATACTCATTCATGATAAAAACTTTCAAAAAACTAGAAAAACTCCCTCAGTCTGATAAAGGGCGTTTTTCCGAGATTGATCTATGAATTCAGTTAATTCCAATCACAGTTGCCTTTTATGTAGAAATTGACTAGGTTTTCTAAAATTTATATGTAGGTACAAAGGGCCTAGAGTAACCAAAACAATTTCGAAAAAGGGCAAAGGTGAAAGAATTTCACTATCTGGTGTCTCAAAAGTTACATAAAGCTACAGTGATAATAACAGTGTGGTACTGGCATAAGGATAGACATACAGAACAAGGAATCAGAGTAGAGTGCCTAGAAATAAACCCACATGCATAAGCTCAGTTGCTTTCAACAAAAGTGCAAAGGTAATTCATGGAGAAAGGGCAGTCTTTTCAACAAATGATGCCAGAACAACTGGATATCCACACTGAGAACATCTCAACTCGGACCAGGGATCGAGGACTTAGACCGTCTGTCTCCATCTCCGCCCTCCCCCGCCGGGCCCCGTTTACATATATGTCAGACTGCTGATGCTGTCTCAGGTCATGGAGGCCCTGTTAATTTTTTCAGTCTCTTTTCTTTCCATGCTTCCTTTTGGACACTTTTATTGCATTGTCTACAAGTTCAGTGATCCTTTTCTTCTGCAGTATCTAATACGATGTTGATCTCCTGCAATGAACTTTTTATTTCAGATATTATAGTTTTTGATCTCCAGAAGTTCGGTTCTTTTTTTAAAATACCTATTTCTCTTATCAGTATTTTTATATTTTTCTTTACATATTTGAACATATGGAACATATTTATAATAGCTATTTTTACATGTTTTTCTTCTAATTCTGTCATTTTGTCACTTCCATCATCTTTGTCATACTGATTAATTCATATCATGGTTATAAGTCAAATAGTCCTTTTTATATCTAGTGTCTTTGTTTGGATATTGGATTATGTGAATTTCACATTCTTGAATGTTATGATGTTGCATTTCTTTAACAACTTTGTTCTGGTAGACAGTTAACTTTCTTTTGAGTCAGTTCAATCCTTTCCAATTATGTTTTAAATTCTTTTAGGATGGATCTGGAGTAGCCTTTACTCCAGGGCTGACTTACCTCCACTGTCAGGTATCACCCTTCCATGTCTCTCCCCAGGGCTTGGTGTATTCAGTGAGGCCCCTGAACTACTCACAATTGTTGGGCTTCTCCCTGTGTGTGGGCAGGCTCCTGTGCAGCCAGACATTCAATGGGCTATCTGTGCAGAGTTCTTTTACTTTTTCTCCATGTAGCTCCCCACTTTTGAGTGCTGTGCCTTTGAAATTCTACCAATCACAGCCTTTGGAAGTTAGTTCCTGGACTCAGTTTGAGTTCCCTTTGGTTACCTTCATAATGGCTCACAATGGCCCTTACCTCCTAGTGTTTGTGACTTCGTGTGGTCCTCTACATTATTATATCAAGGTTGGTCTGACCAGTGGAGTATGGCAGAAGTAGTGCTATGTCACTTAAGATGCTGGGTCATGGAAGATGCTGTGGCTTCTTTGCCCTCTCTCTGATGACTTGCTGCCATGTTGTGACAGCACTTTAAAAAGAGTTTTGTCTTATTCTGGACTTAATTCTCTTCAGTCTCTGTAATGTTGTTACTCTCTTACCTGAAACATTTGGTGGTCCTTTGTAATATTAAAAAAAAAAAGGAAAACTCCCAGCAGAGCATAATAGCCCTTATGAATTTTTCTCCAGCTTTCCCTCTCTGGGTTCTAAGCACAGCACGCTATTTTCAGACAGGTGTACTCGTGCCAGGCACTCACTTACCTCGAGCATTTGCGTGTACTCTTCCCCCCTTTCTCCTCACCTGGCTAACTCTTGCTCCTTCTTCAGTTGTGGGCCTCCTCCTGCAGCACACCTGGCAGCGCCCCAGGCTTCATGCTGGGGCCTGTTGAGTAACCGTCCATTCCCCTGATACCTCTTATGTAAAGGACAGAAACTGTTCTCGATTCCCATTGTGTTCCTTCTTGGCATACAAGGGGTGCTTGCTCAGTATGTTTTGAATGAGTAAGTCAGTGAAGAGAACATTTTAGACTGAGGTAAGCAGTGTCAACATGTCTGGCCACTCGGTTGATTTCTGACATTGGACTTTACATATAGATGAAATAGATAGTAGTATAGCAACTTTTGGTTAACTGATCATTTAATTTGATGAATTTACCTGTCTCATTTTTCAGTGACTTTTGGAGAAATTAAGTATGTTTTACTTATTGTTTTATTGAAGTAGCCTATTGTAAATGACGTTCTTGAAACCTGAAGTTTATATTGGAGTATGTATATTATTACTGAAAATTGAGACTTTCTTTTCCTAAACAGTTAAGTCATTCCATTGTTCCGGGCCTGTGAAGTTTACCATAGAGTGGCATTTGAAGCACTATACCTGTCAAAATGAATATTCTCAGCTGGATGTAAGTAAAACACAGTTTTTTAAAAAGTTACATTTATTGGCCCTGGGCTGGAGGCTTTGTTGGTTAGAGCATCATCCGATTCTCCGAGGTTGCAGTTTTAATCCCTGGTCAGGGCACACACAAACATCAGTCAATGAATGCATAAATAAACAGAACAACAAGTGGATGTTTCTTTCCTTCCCCTCCCCCTCTCCCTCTTCCTTCCCTTCTACTCTCTCTAAAAATCAATAAAACATTAAAAGTAAATAAATAAAAAGTTATATTTATTGTGGTAATTTGGTTAATAACATTATGTAAATTTCAGGTATACAACATTATAATTTGATATCTGTGTGCTCTGTAGCGTGTTCATCACCCGAAGTCTAGTCTCCTTCCGTCACCATATATTTGATGCCCTTTACCCAGTTTGCCTCTTCTCCGACCCTCCTTGCCCTCTGGTAACAGTACCTCTGGTACTGTTGTCTTTGAGTGTGTTTTTGTTTGTTTTGTTAGTTCATTTGTTGCTTTTTCTTACTTATTTCAAGTGTGAGTGAAATCATGCAGTTTTTGGTCTTACTTATTTTACTTAGCATAATACTGTCAAGAGCCATCTGTGTTATCACAAATGGCAGTGTTTCATTCTTTCATATGGCTGAGTAATATTGCATTGTGTGTATGTGCCACATCTTCTTTATCAAATCTTTCGTTGAAAGACACTGGGTTGTTTTCATATCATGGCTAATATGAATAATGGTGTAGTGAACACAGGGGTGCATATATCTTTATGAATTAGTGTTTTTATATTTTTTGTATAAATTACCTAGAAGAGGAATTGCTGGGTCATACTGTAGCTCTATTCTTAATTTTTTGCAGAACCTCCATATTCTTTCCCACAGTGGCTGCTCAATTTAATTGTACCAACAGTGCATGAATGTTCTCTTTTCTCCACGGACTTGCCAACACTTGTTGTTTCTTGACTTATTGATGATAGCCATTCTGATAGGTGTGAGATGATAGCTCATTAACACAAATTTTTAATGTTTGTATATGAAGCTATGAAAGAAAATTATGGGTATAAAAATTTATTAGTTCATCTGGTGTAGTCTTAAAAGTGCCACAAACTTATTTTGGGCCTTACATAATACATGCTTTAATCCTATCAAAGTATGTGCTTTCTGAGAAGAATACAAATCTTTTTTTTGAAGACATCTTTAAAAAATTTTTATATTTAAAGCCCTAGCTGGTGTAGCTCAGTAGATTGAACTCGGGCCTGCGGACCAAACAACTGCAGTTTGATTCCCAGCCAGGGCACATGCCTGGGTTGCAGGACAGTTCCCAGCATGGGACATACAAGAGGCAACCACACACTGATGTTTGTCTTCCTCTTTCCTTCCCTTCCCCTCTAAAGATAAATAAATGAAATCTTTAAAAAATGTTTATATTGATTTTAGAGAAAGAGAGAGGGAGGGGGAGAGAGAGAAACATTGATTTGTTATTCCATTTATTTATTCCTTCATTGGTTGATTCTCTGTGGGGGGGGGTTCCGCCCTCAGGGACCTCCCCACACTTCTCCACCCCACCCCACCCCCACCCTGGATGAGAATAAGTCTACCAAAGATGAGAATAAGTGTACCAAGACATGATCTGCTTGGGGAGGAAAGGTGGCCAGGCCAGTCTCTCAAAGGAGAAGGGCCAAGAGCCTTTTCCTCAATGGGCTTTTATTGGGATCAATTTGCACAGGAATACAGGTAAAGCTCATCAGTCATTGTCAGGCAGTAAGGATTAAACAATAGATAACATACCAAGAACTACGAGGGCGTATTCTGAGTCAGGGTCAGTTAGCTAAAGGGCTATAAAACTTTGGGAAACAAACTCATTTCCTGCTCGAACTCTTATTTAATTGAGAGTATTCTTAGCAAAGCAGGTTTCACAGGATTTTATGCATTCTTTCTTAGGCCCTGGGGAACCCGCCCTTTCCAGCACAGGGCTGCACCGCCCTCTGTTATTGTTTCAGGCTTAAGTCAGGCAGGGGAAGTAAGGCAGTCAAGAGATTAGGAGACTTCTTGCAGACAGAATGAGGACTCAGGGTATGTCAAAGCCGAGGGGTGAGGGTCCATCACCCTTTTTTTCTAGAGTCCGCTCAAGTCCTTCCTTAGGGGCCCCTTCATGACCGTGCCTGTCTTAGGTCATCCCTCCCTTGAGGAATGTTACCCATCATTGGCTAACCGGTCAGGCTCAGGGCCAAGCAAGGTGAAATAAAGGGGGCAGAGGCAGCACCCCTGCCATAGAGATAAGCTTTGTCTCCTTAGTGGCTTAAGGTCCCAAGGTCGCTCACTCAGCCTTAGCCAGGGGCGGGTTACAGTTTCTGAAACCAGGCAGGGTGGTTCCCAACATGATTCTTATGTGTGCCCTGATCAGAGATCGAACATACAACCTTGACATACCAACCAGGGCCAGAATACAAATCTTTCAGTTCCCTTGTATTTTATGAAAAATGATAGTAAATGTTTATTAAATCAGACATGTAGGAACCATTGATAAAAGGACTGTGGGTCACCTACAAACCAAAATAAACTTAATTTAGGAAAGAAACATAAGTTTCACCTTATTTTAAAAGTCAGTAACATGACACGTAGAACTTATGTAAGTATGGGTAGATTTAGTATGAGCAGGTCTCAGAAAGAGGTGAGGAAGGGAAGGACCTATCAGGGAATGTGGGGTGGGGGGATTGCGGGGGTGGAGAAGAGGCCAGGAGCAGTGAGAGAGAGGCAGAGAGGCAGCCCAGGTTGGTCCTGCCCCCGGCCCGGCAGTATTGCTCAGGGATGAGTGTTTCCACCCCAGTATTTCTCCCAGTGCTGCTCCCCATGGTTCCTTCTCGGCTGGTCTGGGTCTGTTGGCTTGTAGTTTGAATAATGTGTGGATCTCCATACTTTTATTTCTATTATCTTTTCATTTGGGGTGAAAGAGATCATTTTCCTTGAATACTGCCTTTTTTACTTTATTCCCAAATATTTTACCCCTTCACACTAAATACTTCAGTGTGTATAAGGTATTTTCTAAGAACAACAATATTCACTTAGATTACACGGCATAGTGATCAAATTCAGGACATTTAGCATTGATAACCACACTATTACCTAATAAATAGACCTTATTAAAATTTTGCCCTGGCTGGCATAGCTCAGTGGATTGAGCGTGGGCCTGCGAACCACACGATTGCGGTTTGATTCCCAGTCAGGGCACATGCCTGGGTTGCAGGCCAGTTCCCGGCAGGGGACTCATGAGAGGCAACCACACATTGATGTTTCTCTCACTCTCTCCTTCCCTTCCTCTCTAAAGATAAATAAATAAGATCTTTAAAAAAATGCTGCCAGTATCCCAATGACATCGCATTTAAAGGGGTTTTTCTTTTTTCCTTTTCTTTTTTTTCCTGGTACAGGGACCAATCTAGGAAGACATTGCATTTCTGTGGCTTTTGTTTTTTTGGTCTTTCATGATATTACATTGATATATTCGAAGTGTACAAGCCACTTATTTTTACAAAATGTCCCTCAATTTGAGTATTTCTGATGTTTTCTCATGATTAGATTCAGGTTATATTTTGAGCGGACATACCAAAAAATCCAGGTTTATCCCATTTTTGGTCTGTTGGTTAGGGAAGTTTCTGCCAGTTTCCTCCACTGTAAAGTGACTACTTTTCTCTTCGTTATTAAAGTAATTTGGGAAAAAAATACTTTGTATTTACATGTAAATATGTATTCTGTTCCTCATCAGTCCTTGTTTTCACATCCTCTGATTTTTCTCCAGTTAGTACACTGATGTTTGCTACATGGCGATTTTCTGATCTGTGTTTTCTCCTGTATTTGTTGGCATTCTGCTATGAGAATACGCTCTCTCTTTTCTTCTATCTTACCTTGCAGTCAGTCAGTCATCAGTGTGGACTCACTGGTTTTTACTTAGTTGTGGATTATAGTCTATTACTGTTTTTACTTATTTTGCTCAAGTTGTCCCATATTGGGCCAGCAGAAGCCCACCTGCCCTTTTTTGATGGCTGGGCGTTGCCATTAGGTTTTATTCCTGCATCTAGGCAGGAAGAGCCCCAGGTCCTCATGTGTGAACGAATGCGTCCCCAGCCCTCAGTTGTGTTTGCACATTTGCTCTGTGTTGCCAAGTGTCTGGTTTGTCTTTCCTCCTCGTTAAATGCTTTCTTTCCCTCTAAGGTCATTTATACTTGGTATAAGATGGAATTAGCCCCAAGACAAAACAAAGTGTGGGGCATATTTCAAAACACCTTAAACACTTTCTTACTGTAAGATTATGGTTGTATTATGTATTACTATTGCTGAGCACATTGGAATGACTAAAATGTTACGGTTTCTCAATTTTACTTAAAATTATATTCATACCTTTTTTTTCCTGTATCTTGCTCTGCATATTTTCAGGTGTTCCAAACTGAATAAATGTTAGGTGTTATTTAGATATTAAAGTTTATTTATCTTCTTGGATAAGTATGGAAATACATTATAACAAAACTTTACATTGGGTAGGAGCTGTCACAAAAGCATGAAAATGTCGGTGAAGACTTTTGTGGTAGTTATTTCAAGAACGTCGAGTGTTGGACCACAAAAAATGAAAACTTAGATTGCAACAGTAACCTACAGGTGTTTCCCTCAGTATACGTGAGTATCTTGTCTTGCTGTGTTAAAGCAGAATTTATTTTAATCCTGGTGCATACAAGTATCAGCTTAAATTTTGTTTCACCAGGCTTTTCATTAAGGCACATAATTTGTTAGTTTTTAGACTTAAATCCCTCCGAATGTCATAGTGCACAAGGAGTAGGGTGTCGGCACCATCGTCCCCTTTCTCCGTGCCCCTCCGTAGCCGTGTCCCTCCGTAGCCGTGTCCCTTCACTGACCTGTGGTCAGTTCACTTCTCGTTCTCAGCTCCATCGCTCTGCCAGCGCAGCGCGAGTCAGAGTCAGGGTTACCAGGACCGCGACGTTCACTCGGTGGTCTGCTGCTCCTAGCACGGTCTGTCAGCACTTAGCTCTTGGGAACGCCCTCTCCTGCTGTGCACTTGCTCCCTCCCAGTGGGGAAGGTCAGATTCTAAAGTGTCACCAGCATTCATTCCTGAGTGGTGGGTCTGTGGGTCATTTTCACTAATTTTCTGTTCTATAAATTCTGCAATGAAAATATGTCTGTGGTGAACATTTTAAAGGGATTACTTAAAAATTTGTGATATGTAATGAACATGTAGCAAAGTGTGCATATCCCAAGTATGTGGCTTGATGAATATTTTAGCGCCTGGGGCTCCCTTTAGTTCCTGGTACCCTCCCCCACAACCATAGCTGCTCTCCTGATTAAGGAAGTAATTTTTCCAAAGCAGGATTTTGTTACTCATGTTTGGGCTACTGTGAAATTTGTTCTCTGATGTTCAGCTTTCAAATTTTTACTTTTTTCATAACACGTTTTTTCTTAATTGTTAAAATTATCCCCATAGAAATGCAGTAATATTAAATCCAACTAATTTATTCTTTTTTCTAGAATAAAGAACTAGTTACAAATATCAGAAATGTTTCAAACCAGGAAGAATCAATGGTAAGTCATTTTATTTGTCTTTAAATCAAATATATATAAGCTATGGTAAGACTGAAAAGAATCTGCTACTTGGAGAGTGAGATAAAGCAGGGTTATTAGTATTGGGAAATAGAAAAGAGCCTTTATTTAAAACAATAAATATGTTTATATGAATTTTGCATAGACTTATTTCTGTCTTTGTTTAAAATCTCTTTAAGGGTATAATTTAAGGTTAACTTATATGCTGCCTTTTCTTTCACAAAATAAAATTTGCTTTCAAATGCTCAAGGTAACATAGCAGCGGACTGGTGTGTATCGTCATTAAGGATATAAAGAAATAGGTAGAAACCATGAATGTAGCACGGAGGGAGAGAAAATTTGGTGTTTGGGGGAATTACTAAAAGTCAGAAAACCTGGAGGCCAAGAAGGTTTGAAGGACCTGTGTGTAGGGACACGGCAAACAGACTTAGGAGAGTGTAATGTTTGCTTTCGTACTGCGACTTCACGTTTCTCGTTGTCTTTCACCATCTTAAGAGAGCCGGATGGTAGAAAGGCATTCCTGCAGGGGGGTGAGGGGGACACACACTCTGCACAAACTGTCACAGGTGGGGGAGGATGAAGTAAAAGGGAAAAACAGGACATATTCAGCAAGAAGGAATGTGAGAAGTTTGGTCCAGTCACGTGGGTCATTGAAGGGGTCACAGACATTACAGCAGCAGTTAGTCACTAGTGGGACTGCTAGTACCTTAGTACCTTGAAGGGTTTAAATAATTTAGCCTAGACACAGAATATGAGTCATTCCTCACAATGTTGTCTGACTTCTTCCTCCCACAGTTAAGTTTAAAAAACACACACTGAAAACTGAATGCTTTATGATATTTGGGTAAAATATGGGAAGAGAAAGTATTTGAGTGGTGGTGTTAAATAAAACACAGAATGGTAACATTAAGGGAAAATCTGTAGAAATATAAGAAATAGAAAACATTGAAGAGTGGAAAAGGCTGTTTTCCTCCTCCATCCCTTCGGGTCTGGAAAGATGATGGTAAAAAATGGCAGGGAGAGGACCTTCCCTCTACCTACCATTCCTTTCCTCTGTGTTATCTGTGCTTTTAAAGAATAACCCAATTTACTTATTAAAAGTTATTTAAAAATATGGTAAGCAAGGATTTATCTCTGTCTTATATAGCAATTAAATAACAAAGGGTTTTTTTCATGCCCAGGATGTTGTTGCAAGAACACAGAGGGATGGGTTTCATCTCCTTATCGTTTCATTTAAAACAGAAGAAACCAATGCAAACTGGAATTTGAATGGTACGGTTAAAGTGCATGCATGTTTTTTGTCTGCTTTTACTGTATTTTTGTCTTGACTCAAATCTCCATTCTCTGTTAAAAACATATCACTCAAAAATGCATTTCTGTTCATCACAAAAGTGAATATATTTGGGGGACTTACAACTTTATACTTAGGTATCTTAAGTTCAATGGAAAAGTTTCAGGCTTCATAGTGGGATAGAAAAGTCTTCATCCTTCCAGATTTTAGAAAAAGGCAAAGGGGCAGGCAAGATCTTAATTGTTTATGAAGTAGATTATATTCTGTTTCTTGAAATTGGCCATCATCAGGGTTTTAAAATTGTTATTCTTTAAGTTTTTTTTACCATTATTTTATGAAATATTAAAGGGCCTTATTTAAGAAAAAGATTTAAAAAAACAAATAAAATTTTTTTAAATCATCAGTTTACAGCTTAGGCGGAGAAGTGGCAGGGCTGGGAACTGGCTTCTGTGGTCTGTGAGCTCCCCAGCCCCCACAGGGTCGCCCCTCTGTGGCTCAGGAAGCCGCAGTCCTCAGTGCCCAGGGCAAGAGCATCCTCGCTATAAGCAGTTCCGAGGGAATAAATGCCTCCCTTGCCCTAGAATTGCTTTGGCTGTCATTTTCCAGAGCAGGCATCTGCTGGGCTGACAGTAGCCAACAGCATGTGAGGGTTCTGAGGATTTGAATTCTGCTCTGGTCCATCCACTGGGGACATGGGGGAAGCCAGGCTCTGCCTCTGAGAGGCACCCAGTCTGGGGGAGGGCGCAGAAAGTAGTGGGGTGAACAGGCGTCACTGCAGAGAGGCAGAGAGCTGGTGTCCTGTGGGGGAAGCTGGTGGAGGTGGCCGATCTGGAGGCATGTGAAGTAGGGCTGCCTTCTGGAGGTGATATGTGGGCCAGGCCATGTCACATGCAGGGAGCAGGGACTTTGATGCCATTCTGCTACCTCACTGCAGCCCCCTTCCATCCAGGTGGCATGCCCTTTTCCAATACTGGCAGGCAGGACTGAGCCCCTGAAATGGAAACAGTTACTAAGCAAGTTCTGCACTATTCTGGACACTCTTGTTTATTATCACTTTCTTAGATAAGAACCCAGATTAGATATTTGAGGTCAGTCATTTACACCAAATACATGAAGGGAAACAGAGTCCTCAGGAGGTTGGTGGCTCAGCAGCGGTCAGACTGTGGCCAGTGCGAGTCTGCTCTCTGCATGAAGTGAGATTTGGCCCAGGTTTTACAACCAAGTGTGTACCAGTGAAGGTATCTTGATGGGATCATATAATCAGACAACTCTAACTATCCAGTATCTGTGTGCGCTAGGTAAAAATTCAGCATTCGTTAGCTTGGATTGTATTCTGGGAGCCTTCTGTGAAATGAGCTTATGTTTAAAACCTAAGAGGAAGCTGATTGTGAATTTAACTCTTTACTTTCTTTATCCTACCCTCACTTTCATCAGTTTCTGTTTCAATGATGGGACCCAAAGGATATCTCTCTGCATCAGATTGGCCTCTCATGATTGTGAGTATATTTCATCATTTTCTAAAAGTGAATTTTGTATCCTAATTGGAAAATTAAAAATTCTAAGAGTTCAGTGATGATCATCCCTCAGTAGCTAGTGTCCTGATACAACTCTCTATTTTCAAAGTCACTGGAAAATAAAGGATTGACAGTTGAATGTAGAAATGTTGATTTTTCAAGTGATAAAAAGGCTTAACTGATTAAAATTGCTTCCCTCCCTACAGTTTTACATGGTGATGTGCATTGTCTATATTTTTTATGGTGTGCTCTGGCTGATGTGGTCTGCCCGTTATTGGAAGGATATATTAAGAATCCAGTTCTGGATTGCAGCTGTCATTTTCTTGGGAATGCTTGAAAAAGCAGTTTTTTATGCTGAATACCAAAACATCAACAGCACTGGGCTGTCGAGTAAGTTGTGACTTTCTCCACAAACACAGTGTGATCCGCGGGTCCTCAGGGTTGGAGCCGAGCTGTGGGTGGAGAGGAAGGAGGCCATGGAGAGACTGTCAAGGTGGAACTCTGTCCAGGGCCAGCACGTGTGTCTTCTTCATTGTTCGTTTTTCTTCTCACTGACCTTCCCTCGCTTTCCTCCTGTGGAGAAAAAATCCCGTTCACTGAGGTTCAGCTACTGCGACTGGGTTAAAACAACACGAAGGCTGGATGGGGAGCTTTAGGTGCATCCAGTTTTGTCGTAGATGCTTTCCTGTTTTTTTTTCCCTACCCTCTTCTCCTTTCCTCTCCAAAAAAGAAAATTCGCCCACAGGGAGTAAGGTTGGTGGTGCCCGCGGCCTTTCATTGTCCCGCCTCCTCCCACTCGCAGGCCTTCGTGTGACATTGATGTGTGATTAGCAGGGAAGGGGTGTGGTTGGGCATCTGCACTCTGTGCCCGGGCTTCTGGAAGGTAGATGTCAAGAAGTTAGAGAAGTCAGTTAATTCAGCCACTGAACCTGAAAAGGGAGAGAGCCCAGAAGGGCTCAATGTGCCTAAGAGTGTGCTTCTGAGGGGCCAGTTACAAGGAGCTCGGCCCAAACTGTCAAAGGGTGAGCTTGTGTCTGCTGGAGTATTTTTAAAAATACTCTAGGGAAGAAAAGTGAGTTGAAATCCAGATGAAACAAATTTGGCATAATGCTGATAATTACTGAAGCCGAGTGATGGTACATGGGATTTCGTTTACCACCTTCTCTGTGCTGGGGAATGTTTTCATTTTCCCAAATAAAAAGTTTAAAAGGACTCGTACAAAAGAATAAAGAAAGGACAAGGATCCAGTGAATGTGAAGTGAGAGGTGAACGCATGAGAACAGAATGGGAATACATGAGAGGTGTTACTATTCTACAAGGAGTTTTACTGACTTTTTTGGGTTTGTGCTGTAACCAAATAAGGAAGGCAAGATGGGGCTGCCGCTGGTGGCGGGGGTCGAAGTGCCCTCAAATGCCGGAGGGGCAGCTCAGCCCCTCTGCTGTTGGAGGTGGCCTCTTATGTGAGAGGGTCAAGGGTGGTGTGGACTCCGGCAAGGGCAGCCAAAGCCTGTGATCTGTCCTCAGGAACTTTAAGCCCTCGGTCTGGGATGACCCCAACAGGGCTCAGGGACAGACCCCAGACTGCTGTCTGTGTTCCTGTGGAAGAGGAGAGGTGCCAGGAGACTGGGCAGGGGCTACTGTGTGATTTTCCCATGTGGGGATTTGTCACCTCAGGCTCTCTTGCTCAGCATTGTTCCTGGAAGGAGAGACTTTAAAGGGATGGGAGCGGTGATTGTGAAGACCCAAGGGGAGCACATTAAGAATATATCAGGTTGACTTCCTTCTGTCGTGCCCTAGATTGGTCATGAGAAAGTGTAGTAAGGCACGTCTGTCTGTACCTCTTCAAGGTGGAGACGAGGTAGAGAAAGTGAACTGAGACAAGAGAAATGAGGTGGGTTCACATCTGCTTTCTGGATGCTTTCTGATTCTCCCCATCTTCACTGCCAGCACGCCTGTCTTCCCGGATTTCTGGAGTGGCCCCTGGGTGTTTCCTCGCCTGCAGCCAGCTCCTGTCTAAGCCATTAACTACAGCAATCCTGCACTTACAAAGTAAAACAAAGCTATCCATTTTATTTCAAGGGTCTGAAAACTCTGCCATATAGTAAATATTGTAGACTTTGCAGGCCACACACCCTCTGTTGCTGCTGATCAGCTCTGCCCTCGTAACATGAAAGCAGCTGCAAACAAGTGGACATGGCTGTGTTTCATTTACAGAAACATGCATGGGGCAGACTGGGACATGGGCTGTGGTTTGTCAGTTCCATTTTACACCCTTTACTATCTCTGACTGCCCAAAACCCTCAGCTTCAAGTCTAGACTCAGACCGTGGCCCACACACCCATGTGATTGCACCTCCTCTGTCCCAGCCTCTTCTCTTAGCACCCCACTTCCAGCGCCGCTGCAGACGTGTGCATTTCCCTCCACTTCTTGGAGCACGTTTTGTTTTTACTCTTGTCTTCTCCATGCTCTCCCATATGCCACTTATTTCTGCTTGCCCCTGTCTTCCCCCAGGTAGTTCACTCTTGTTTTGCCTTCAGATCCTGATTTAGATGTCACTGCCTCTGAAAAACTTATTTGGACCCTCATGTACCTCTCACGTGTGGAGTAGGTTGGCTTTCTTCACAGTTGTGGGCGAGACTTTGTTAGCTCTGTCACTTACCAGGCTGGGTTTCATCTGTTAACCAGAGCACAGGCTCCAGGAGGCAGGGACCATAATGTCTCCATTACTGTTATAGCCACACTGCAGGAGCACAAAGGAATAAATGATGGCGATATGCAGAGAAAAGACTCTAGGGGACACTGTGGGCAGGTGTTTATAGAACAAGAAGAGGGATGTTATTCTTTGTCATCTCGAGGGGAAAGACTGAATAGGGAGGGAAGTTCAGGTAGACAGATTTCATGCCAGTACAAGAAAGCTGTGCCCTGCAGAGCTGATGAGATACGGAGTGGCCCTGACCAGATGGCTCAGTTGGTTGGAGCATTGTCCCATACACCAAAAGGTTCCGGGTTCGATTCCTGTTGGGGCACATAGCTAGGTTGTGGGTTTAATCCCCTACTGGGCAGATACGGGAGGCAACCAGTCGACGTTTCTCTCTCTCTCCCTCCTGCCCCTCCTCCTCCCCCTTTCTTCTGTCTCTAAAATCAGTAAACATGTCCTTGGGTGAGGATTAAAAAAAGAAAAATGGAGTGAATTCTTTAGCAGGTTATGAATCCCTTTCACCGAGGTTTCCAACGTCGGTTGTATTAGATGCCTTGGAAATTAAATGTGGCCAGTCTGCCTGAGGTCAGGTGTCGTACACAGTGAGCTGGTTTCTTTCTTTCTTTCTCCTCAGCCCAAGGGTTGTTGATATTTGCCGAGCTGATATCTGCGGTCAAGAGGACGCTGGCCCGCCTCCTGGTGATCATCACGAGCCTGGGGTACGGCATCGTGAAGTAAGTCCCACCCTCCCCGTCGGGACCCGCGAGGCGGGGCGCTGCTCAGCAGCATTACACAGACGCCGCGGAAAGTATCCGTGGAACCGTTCCGACAGGGTCTCCACACACTGACCATTCAGTACCGTCCTCAGCTTTTTACAGTTCCATGAATAAGCACTGGCTTCTTCCCAACCCTCTCAAGCGGGTCTTTCCTCTCACCCCGTGAGTCATGGGGCCTGAATACGAAAGAGTTTATCCTCTTTAGACCATTATTCCTTCTAAAACCCGCAGACTCCTAGAGCTCAGGCCGGCTCGCTGGACGACCTGCTCCGTCTTCTCACTGTGGCCCCAGGTTCCTCCTCTCCTCCCTTAGCTCCCCGAGCTCTTGCTTCCCGTTTCCTCCGCACGTCATCCATTCCCTGTGCACTCAGGATCCTTGTGGCTGATCCTTCAAGTAACCCAATCTCACCTCATCACCTCTGCTCTCTTCACCTTTATCTCACCTCAGATAAGACGCTAGGCCATTTTCTAGGCTTTATTACTCGGCACAATTGCACCCTCTTCTTTATCACTGTTTCAGGTAATTCACTTTGTAGCTGCCACCACCTCTTTCCCGTTCACCTTCTCTGATCCGTTAGCTCATTACCCTCAGATCCCGGTGTGGCCTTCACGTGCTCACCTCTCCTTCAGCATACAGTCCTGATGCAGCGGGGACTCTTGCGAACACCTGGGGCCCTTCGCCTGGTTTCCCTGCCTCCGCCCTTGTCTCCTGTCATTCTGTTCAGACAGCAGCAGCTAAGGTGATCCTTTTGAAGTGTAACTCAGATCTCCTTACTTTTCTGCTCCATCAAACCAAAGCTCCTTCTGGGGCTTTTCTGATGGCTGACCTCCTCTCTTGCCTTCTCCCTTTTGAACGCTGCCCCGTCCTCTGACGGTCTTGGTGTTGCTGTTCCTTGAACACAAAACACTCCCGAGCAGTGGAGGCCTCTTCTGCAGACCTGAGCCTGCTCTACCCCCCACTTCTGTCAGCCCCCGCTCCTCTGTCGTCTCCCCAGGAAGAGAGCCCTGCCAGGATTCGACTGCGGTGCGCGGTCCACGCCCTCCGTCCCAGAGCCCCCGTCCTCTCACAGGACACTCCGCGTGTACATAGTAGTCGTCGCCCTCCCCACGGGTGCATGAGTGGAGCAGGCGTTCTGCCCGTTTTGTTCCTGTGTACCGTGAAGCCGCAGGGCTGCCCCAGCACAGAGCAGGCGTTCAGTGAATGGCACCGAATGCACACATGTGTGCGTTAGAGCTCAGGGTGGGTGTGTATAGGAAGATTTCAGCCAGGAGACCTTCTTTTCATTGGACTTTTATTGAGATTCCTCCTCAGATGCTTTGCTTTGGGGCTGGGGGTTTGATACGGTATATGGAACACAAGACCCTCGTGTGGCATCTCATGCCCCTCACGGCTCTGGTTATGAACACCAGGTGCTTGGGTGTGGGTGTGCCGCGGCGAGGGCACAGCCTTGGGGAGCACATCCCTTCACCGCGGCCTGTGGTTTCAGCTCTCACAGAGGGGGGCGGTAACGCTTCTGGCTGTTTCGGGTCCAGTTAGATGGCTGTGGGTCAGAGTTCAGGTGAACCGAATTAGGTAACTGGTCTGAAATGTGAGCTATAGATACTAGTTTAACTTTTACTTACATTCTAAAAAATATTTTATTTATTTATTTTTAGAGAGAGGGGAAGGGAAGGAGAAAGAGAGGGAGAGAAACATCAATGTGTGGTTGCCTCTCATGTGTCCCCTACTGGGGACCTGGCCTGCAACCCAGGCATGTGCCCTGACTGGGAATCGAACCAGCGACCCTTTGCTTCACAGGCCTGTGCTCAATCCACTGAACTACACCAGCCAGGGCATTTTTACTTACATTTTTGTTTTAAAATGACAACCTTAAGTATTTTTTCAAAATCACTTTTTTCTTCTAATTAATTCTGAGAAGAGGATTGTTGAGCTAAAATGTATGTGCAGTAAATTCGGACTTCATGATTTCAGTTCAGTTTTCACATTGTTAATTGCAGAAGTCACCCTCTTTGCATTTTCCCCACTCATTTATATTTTTGAAGACTCAAAACTGTTATTTTGATACCTTTGAAATTAAAGAATAGAAACTCAATCCTTAGCCATCTGGTTTTGAGTGTTGAGAGAAGGAAGGTAATGGAATTTGGTCTCTTCATATCCCTGCTCTTTCTCTGCCCAAGTCATAAATCAGCAGATTTTTGCTAATAAAAGAGACCCCAGAATTGTTTTTTAATTCATGTTAGTAAGCAAGTTAAATTGTTGTTTCTGCCAGCGGCAGTCAGCAGTTGGCCCTTAGCTCCCCGGGTTCTTCGGCCTGCTCTGACGTCCCACGAACCTGTACCTGGGCTGTGTCATAGTGTGGGCCACAGCCTGGCATTTCCGCAGTAAAACCCTCTGTTGCTTCCAGTGCCAGGGAGGAGGCCCATTTTCTCGGCCTGTGGCTGCCTGGTTCCCGGGAAATGTGTTTCCTAAAATAAAGCACCTCAGGGTGGGAGCAGAGTGACCTGATTAGGCGGTGGCTTCCCTGGCATTGGATTGGAGCCAGTGACTGTTCAGATGCATCTCATTTACTGTGCTTCTTTTTTTCTTATTTTCTGCTTTCTCTTCCCACTTCCAGACCTCGCTTAGGGACAGTCATGCACCGGGTGATCGGACTGGGGCTTTTCTACTTCATCTTCGCGGTGGTCGAAGGCGTGATGAGAGTCATCGGGGTAAAAACTACATCATTCCATTATCATCTCTTTTGTTGTTGATGACAAATATGACTATATATCTCCTAAGATGAATTTTTAAAGGCAGGAAATTGATGCAAAAGGCCCAATTTGAGCTTTATTTCCTATGGGATCTTTTTCTTCTTAATACTTTCGGGAAGTAAAAGGCAAGGCCGAGCACTTCCTAAGATGATGTGGTTGAGTGTGAAGGAAGCACCTGCCGTCAGCCCAGGACCTGGCTGAATCTCAGAGATGTTCATAGTTAACCCTGTTGGTTGTTTAGTCTGCACACATTCATTCCTTCCTTACCCTTAACTTAAACGTGTATCAAGTTAGGAGCAAGTCAGTTGTGCTCTTAACACATGGAAACACTATATCTTACTCTTAAGTCTCACTTGGCTGTCAGTTTTCTCCAACCCTGTGGATGCAGTGTTCTGGGGGTTCTGGCAGAGCCCAGTGTGTGAGGGAACAGGAGCAGGCATTCGAGGACAGTGACCGGTGCTATGGCAGCAGTGCTTTCCCCCCTCGAGAAGGGCGGGACCTCAGAGTTTTAGCTGGCAGTTTTTCTGAATAATGTAATTGACGACTGAGTGATTAAGAACTTACTATTTTTTACTTGATTTAAAGAACATTGTAACTTTTGCCTCCAGCGTCTTGGCTTAGATCTTTAAATCAGATGACTGTGCAGAGCAGTTCATCTGTATATTGCCTGTCAGTCCACACTACATGTCTGCTCTGTCCCCTGAAGCAGGACACTTGTCCCACAGTGTTAAAAAGCCTCATTCTTCTTCCTGTTGTCTCAGTGCGCTTACATTCTGTACTAGATGCACCTGCTGCTTTTGTCTCTGACTCTTGAAAGGGGTACCGTATTTTGCCATGTATAATGTCTACTTTTGCCCAGATCTTTGAGGGAAAAGTAAAGTTGCACATGATGCATGGGTAGTACTAGTTTCTATCTATAGAAATGATTCTAATTTTTTAATTTATGCTTATGCATTGAAAGTGTAACTCTAGAAAGCAATAGCAATATCTGTATGCAAAATAATACCCTGGAATACGATAATTGGTTTTGGGGAACTTACGACAAACTTGCAACAAAAACAGTTTCAGCCAGTGATTCAAAAAATGAAACAGAGCAACGTATTGTTATCCACAGAGTGAGACAGATGATGCCGATTGTCATCCACTGGATAAGACAGGTGATGCCGACTTTATTACCGTGGGGTGAGCAGTCCAGCTTTTCTCTTCATACACTTCAGGTGGGAGAAATTATTGGCAAAATCCCTTGGAAAATGTAGGAACTGTTTTCATACACTGCAAGTCTTAGGCTAAAAGTTATTAAATATGCTAAAAAGCATGGCAGCAGGGCTACAGAGAGACGCTTTGGACCTCCTCCCACAGGGAGTGTCATCAGAATGTGAGGCAACAGGAAGAAAAGCTCCTTCAGATGCCAAGACAGAAGAAGGCAATGCCAGGGAAACCTCCAAAGTGGCCAGAGGTGGGGCAGGAGGCAAAGACCAGGATTTGGGAGCAGCATCAAACTGGGATCTCTGTTTCAACCAAGAAGATAGAAAAAGGAGGTAAAAGGATTGCCCAAGAAAAAAACATTGATGATCTCTCAGGGACACCTACATGGTGCTTTATAAAGAGAGAAGTTTTGAGCATGAGGACACGAATGAAACTTGCCTCCAAACCTCCAGCAGCCTATGAGAATCAAGTTTCGGAATTTCCTTCTTAGGTGACCAGTCTTCGAAAGACTCGCAACTTTGAGCTGTCCCAGGTCGCCAGTATGCATGAGGTCCCACTCACATTTGGTGTGCATCCAACAGAACTGTGGACATCAAAGGAGCAAAGACTGGCTGTTAAAACGAGTGGTCAGAAGAAGAAACATTTCACTGTTGTTTTAGCCTATTGTGCAGATGGGACAAAGCTATCAACTATGGTGTCTTTAAAAGAAGAACATTTCTGAAAGAAAAGATCCCAAGTGGAGTTATTGTCCATGTGCATGAAAAAGGATGGATGAATGAAGAAGGCATGAAAATCTGGTTTAACAAATTCTTGTCACTTAGGCCTGGAAAATTACTTAAAAAACTGGCTTTGCTTATTTTTGATCACTTCAAAGCCCATGTTACACAAAGTGCAAAAGCAATCTCAGCGAACTTGAAAACCCAACTTGCAGTGATACCTGGTGGGCTAACCAGGCAACTACAACCTCTTGGTGTGTCAGTAAACAGCCCTGTAAGGTCCTCGTGAAGAAAGAGTGGATGTTGTGGTTGCAGTCGGCTGGTAATGATTTGAAGCCTACAGTCAGGGTCAAGAAAGCATCTCATCATCCAGGTTTGTTATTAGGTCTCAAGATTTGGAACTGTGTCAAGAAGGAAGTGGTCGTGAAATCATTTTAAAAGTGCAGCATCAGCAATGCTGTACATGGAACTGAAGAAGTTTACCGGGATGAGGAAAGTGACTCTTCAGAAGACACCAATAATGTAGAAATTGAAGAAGATGATACCTCTGATATTGACAGTGATGAAGAGTTCTTGGTCTTCTATGATGCATAAATATAAATTGGTTACCAGTATATAACATTTCTTGTATTTTGTATCTATCCTTGTGTTTTGTAATTATCTGTGACATAAAATTTGTTTTACTATAATATGTTCAAAAATAAATGCTAACATTCCTTTATAACACAAAAAACTAGCATCTAAATATAAATAAATTAAAATTGAATTAAAAAATAAAAACGAAAGACTTTTTTCCTGAAAGTTTGGGCCAAAAATGTGGGTGCACATTATACAAAGCAAAATACAGTATTTATTTTTATCTTTACATAATAATGAAAAACTCTGCATTTGCATGTCACTCACAGGAAGCTAATATCTACAGAAAAAAAACAGAAAAGATAAATATTTCATATATAGATGTAGTGTATACATTGTATTTCCTTAAAATTTTACATCATCAGCATTGTAGGTGGATGTTTTACATACACTTCTCTGTCAGCTCTTAAGTAAGTGGCTAATAACCTATGGTTTGTTTTTCCGCTCCACCCGGTTACTTTTGCTTGTTTTACTTTTCCCACGTCCTTTGCATGCAGTAGGAAAGAGGAGGGTGCACTAGTAGCTGATTCACTAGCAGCTGTGGCTGTGGGTCTGGCGTGGAGGGGGGAGGTCCACACACGTGCCCTGGTGGGGCTGGGTCCTGGCGCCTGTTACGTGCCATTCAGAGTTCAGTTTGACCTTGTCCCCAAACAGGCTGTTGACAGACCAGATCATGTTTATGTGCTGAAGACAATTCTGTGAGGAAGTAAAAGTATTTTATATGGCCTTTGTAAAGCAATGCTGTGAGCTGAATTGTTTTTCTTCATCAGATAATTCCTGTAATATAATGAAATTTCAACTTTCAGCCTTTTTTCCCATTTTTATCTTTCAGGGTTCTAACCATTTAGCTGTTCTTTTTGGTGACATAATTTTAGCAATTATCGACTCCGTTTTTGTGTGGTTCATATCCTTTACAGTGTAGTGTCCTTCTAAAATAGTTTATTATAGCACTAAAATCATATTACTTTTATTTGTAATAATAATAGAAATACAGTTTTGCATTATTATTACCTCGACATAGCAATTATTTGAAAGTGAAAAAGTAACAACTCCCCAAATGAAGAATATGTTTGTTTTTCTCTGTGCAGTTCAGCAAACTTAAGTACTTACTATGTGCCCTGTGCCGAGGAGGAAACACGCTACTAGAAGGAACATGGAAATAATTGTCTCCATTGTAGAGGGTTGTTTTGCAGACAGAGGGAAGAGAAAAGACAATTCTAATGTGAAATCAGGAACGACTTCATAGAGTTGGTGACATTTAAATTGAGACTGGGAGGACACATAGGGGTCAGAAGGAAGAGAGTTGAGAATCAGGGAAGAAGCATTCTGGGAAGGCATGAAGTGTAGGGACGGTGGTAGGATGCCCCAGGCTGGCAGCCTGTAGGGGAACGTGTGGGAGAGTCAAGGAAGGTGCGGCCAGCGGGAAGGAAAGAGTGACTTGCTCAGGGGTTTAAGAGTTTCCGCTGAAGGTAGGAAGTAGAGGAAGTTGAAGCTGCACAGGTGAAAAACACGGGATCTCTGTGAGAAAGAATTCAGTAATGACATAAGAAGATGACTTGGAAAAGGAGAGACTGCATACGGAAAGTCTACTAAGCCATCTATAGTGGTCCAAGGAAGACATGGTGAGGGTTAGAAATATTGCAGAGGAAGTGAAGAAGAAGTTGCACATGGCAGACTTGCTAGAAAACGTGGCAGAAGAAGCAGACAAGTCTCCAGAGAAGTCTCACAGGTCTCATTTGGGTGGCTGGAGGCAGCATTGCTATTATCGAGGCAGTGACCTTGGAGAAGGGACTGTAGCGGATGAGGTTTGAGCTGCTGGGGAATTAGTGTGAGGAAGAGTCAACTGGTGGTGAAGGTTGGAGGTCATCTTTGTACAGGAGAAGGTTGCGGCCATGATAGTGGCCCAAGGAGAACATGTAGACCGGCGAGAGGAGAGGAGCCAGGTGGCCTGGTGCACAGATCATTCATGGAAGGAGCACAAGGGTGAAGGGAGGTAGGAGGACCAGGAATTGTCACGGAGTGGAGGTAGGGAGAGCTTCGGTAAGAGGGAGTGGTCAGCAGTGGCCAGTGCGGCAGAGGAATTCCCAAGGCACCCCAGCTTCCGTCACTGAAGAGGTCGCAGTGGGACAGTGGGAGAGCAGGTTTGGCGAAGGTGGGGGGCAGAAATCATAGGACAGCAGAAGTTTTAGGGCAGCGTGGGCTGATCCTTGAGGACCCCTCACTGAGTCCAGGGTCCCCAGTGTGTTTTTCTGCCTGTTGGGGCCTCTCATGGAAATGGGAGGGATTCTAGAGAAACTGTGACCTGGGAGAGCAGAAGGGAGGGTTCTGCAGATCCCAGAATAGTATTTTCATTTATTTCTTCTACATTTGTGTTCTCTCTGAAACTTTCCTATAGATGGGTTTTATTTGTATTGTTTAAAAGGTTTTTATTTATTTAATTTTTCGGAGAGAGAGGAAGGATGGGAGAGAAACATCAATATGCAAGAGAAACCTTGATTGGCTGGCATTGCATGGCCCCCTGGCTCACTAGCTCGGTATGTGCCCCAACTGGGAAGTGAACCAGCAACTCTTCGGTTCACAGGCCTGCATTCAATCCACCGAGTCACACCAGCAAGGGCAGGTTTTACTTTTACCAAGGTTTCTTGTTTCCATTGTCTTTGCTACTTGTATTTTAGCTTTTAACATTGAATGTTCTTTTTGCTTTCCTTGCACTTTTTTCATTTTCTCATCTTTGTCTCTCAGGGGAAGGACGAGAGGGCTTGACTCTACCTGCCTGTGTCCTTTCTCAGCAAGGAAGCGGCTGCGCCAGCAAACGTGGCGCTAAGGCTTTTCTGAGTGCCTTGTGGACGGTTTTTCTAAGCCAGGTCACCTATTCTTTAATGTCCCTTTGTGGATTCTCAGTTTGCTTCCAAGTGACAACAAAACGGAACCTTTAAACATGTTATCCTTATTCTCTAAAGCAGTAGTCCTCAGCCTTGCTGGGGTCCTGGGATCAGACACACCTTTGAAAGTGTGAGGAAGCCCAGAGCGTCTCTGCACAGATCGTAGACAATGCTTCCCACCCACGCAGGCATTTACCTGCAGTGGGGCATTTAAAAACCTCCCGCATGAGTTTGTGGATCCCCTCGTGTCTAGGGGTGTCCAGCTAAGACATAATACTTGATTTAAAGAGTTGCGTCTGAGGGAACTTGAGTGAAAAGCATATTCTGCTTCTGTCCAGGGTTTAGAATCCAAGTTTATGAATAAAATTAGATAAATCTGATCTTCTCAGAGAGTGCTATAAACATATTACTCTAGTAATTTTCATATTTCCTGCATTAAAACACATTTGAAGATGTTTGGTTGTTAGAAAGGTGAAGTCCGTTCCTAGTTCTACACATGAACCGTGTTCGGGCCGAGGGCCGCAGGGCCTGTTCTGAGCGGTGCATCAGGACAGGGGTGCTCACGGGCCCTGGGAGGGGGGCAGGACCGCAGCTCTCGTGCTCTGAGTGCATCTGGATGTGAGTGAGGGCAGTTTCTCTCCTTTGTGGGCTGCATTGGCTTTAATCTGTTCCAATACAGAAGGAGCCAGGTTGGGGTGGGAAAATCGGAAAACAAGGTAAAATAGTAAGGAACAATATTAACTATTAACACAGTTTTAAAATAGTAAGGAACAATATTAACTATTAACACAGTTTTAAAATAGTAAGGAACAATATTAACTATTAACACAGTTTTAAAGATTGTGTTTATTTAGTTTTAGAGAACAGGGAAGGGATGGAGAAAAAGAGGGAGAGAAACATCAATCAGTTGCTTCCCACACATGCCCCAACTGGGGACTGAACCCACAACCTAGTCATGTGCCCTGAGTGGGAATTGAACCTGCAGCATTTCACCTTGGGAGATGACACCCAGCCAACTGAGCCACATCCATCAGGGCTGATTATTAATTATTTTTTTAATTTTGTATTGTTTAATTATAGTTGTCCCTATTTCCACCCCATTACTCTCACCTGCCCTGCTCACTCCCATCTCTCACCTTCAACCCTCTCCCCTCCCCCATCAACTTTGTCCACGGGTCCTTTATACATGTTCCTGACAACCCTTACCCTTCCTTCCCCTGTTATTCCCCCTCTCTCCTTCCCCTCCCCAGTTACTATCTGTTTGTTTTTTATTTCCATGTCTCTAGTTCTGTTTTGCTCACTTGTTTATTTTGATGATCAGGTTCCACTTAAAGTTGAGATCATATGGTATTTGTCTTTTCTTGCCTGACTTATTTCACTTAGCATAATGCTTTCCAGTTTCATCCATGCTGTCTCGAAGGGTAGGAGCTCCTTTCTTTCTGCTGCATAGTATTCCATTGTGTAAAGGTACCATAGTTTTTTGATCCACTCATTTACTGATGGGCACTTAGGCTGTTTCCAGCTCTTGGCTATTGTAAATAGCACTGCTATGAACATTGGGGTGCATTAGTTCTTTTGAATTGGTGTTTCAGAATTCTTAGGGTATAATCCCAGAAATGGAATTGGTTATTAATATTTTTAAAAGATTTTATTTATTTCTTTCTAGAGAGAGGGGAAGGGAAGGAGAAAGAGTGGGAGAGAAACATTAATGTGTGGTTGCCTCTCACATGCCCCTAACTGGGGACTCTGCCTGCAACCCAGGCATGTGCCCTGACTGGGGAATCAAACCAGTGACCCTCTAGTTCACAGGCCCATGCTCAACCCTCTGAGTTGCACCAGCCAGAACTGATTATCAGTATTTTTAATAAAGATGTTTGGGATAAAAGTCATGAAGAAATCCAGAAATTAAAGTTATTTTCATTAGTGTTTCATGGTGAGAGAAGGAAATTTAGTATCTGTTTCTGCTTACAACTGAATTCCTAGTGCTTGCTTTTGGATTGCTATTAGGTAATTTCCATTACTGCAGCGAAAATCGCTTTCTCTGTACAAAAGAGAGTGGGTTTCCTAAATGACACAAATGATGAGCAAAGAAGCAGGACTCCCTGGAGAAGTGAGTGCTCTCATAAGGACCTGTGCTTCCTTTGCTTTTGGTGAGCGTAACTGCGGCTAGTCCTGTGCAAATCTACTTCTAAATGATAACAGAAATAGCCTAAAAATTTAAAGCACAGCCTTTCTCATGAACCCCCTTCCCTTTTTTTTGCTTGCTTTATTTTATTTTTTATTTTTTGCTGTTTTGCTGCAGGCAAATGACTCTGATCTTGTGCTTCTGGCCAGCCTCCCTCTGTCTCTTCTTGACTCTGCCTTGTGCTGGTGGATATCCTTTCCTACGGCAGCAGGGGCCTGTGGACACTCATGCAGGACGGTGGGCCATCTGCTTTCCTAACCACTTCTAAGTTTTCCTTGCATTAGCAGTGTCTTGGTAAGTGCAGGCTTAGGCAGTTCTGAATTTGCTTTTGATCTTTTTATTCTTTGGCTTTTAAAAACACTTTTGAATTTTTATTTATTTTTTAATATTTTTTTTTAGATTTTACTTATTTTTAGAGAGAGGGGAAGGGAAGGGAGGGAGAGAAGGAGAGAAACATCAACCGGTTGCTTCTTATGGGCCTGGTGACCTGGCCCGCAACCCAGGCATGTGCCCTGACTGGGAATCAAACTGGCAACCTTTCAGTCTGCAGGCTGGTGCTCAATCCACTGAGCCACACCAGCTAGGGCACTTTCGAATTTTTAATTGACGCCAGATTTTTAACACAGAAAATTGGTTTTCATCAAGAATTTCTAAAAAGTATTTGTCTTGGTAATGTTTGAGGAATATATAGCACACTTGCATTTTTGTAAATTCTGACAGTAGCCTTCATTGGTTGGATTGTGTTATCTTAGACATTGATCTTTTACAGCATTTTACTCATTCAGAAAAGTTGAAAAGCAGCTTTGGTAGTTTTAGGTACTAAGAAGTTTTTGAATAGCATTTGGAATTTCAAATAGGAGGCATAAACGGGAAATTTTCCCCTTGCATTCTTTTGCTCCGCTGTGTAAATTCCGTGTGTGGTTCACGAACAAAGCTTGGTGCTATGCGCCAGAAGGAGCAACTCCCACGGACAGACGGAGCTCTGGCGCGGCCCAGGCTTGCTGCGGAGGAGCCAGTGGAGAAGTCCCTTCTCACTTCTTCATACTTGACAGTAGTGAACTTCACCGGAGCCTGTGCTCCTGGAGAACCACTGTGGTAAGGGAAAACCCCTTTTGCCTCCTGGGAAAAAGCTTACTACAGAGAACCTCCTTCTGTAGAACTTAGTGGGACTCCCCAAGCCCCCAGTTTACCTGTGACAAGGCCAGGCTCAGACCTATGTACCCACTGACCCATCTGGACCACACTAAGCTCTCTCCTCCTAGGTTCCTGAGCTCTCATTTACCCAAGCTCATGGAAAGGCCCTGCCAGAGTCTGCAGACCTCAGGAGAGCCACTCCCTGACTGATTGCCCCTCATTCCACCCACTTCCCCACACCTAAGCTTTCTAGTCCTGTTTCCTCCTCCCTGTGAAAGCCCTTTCCTGTGTGACGGTTGGGACTTCGAAAGATCTTACAGTTAGAACATTCTCCCTTTCGCAATCACCTTTTGAATGAAGTCTCTCCTTATTTAAATTCAGATTTGTTTTATTTGACATATTTCAATTTTAATTGATAAAAGAGAATTGATAGGTTGTTCCAATTTCTTAGTTAGGATCATGAAAAGATAGAGTAGATGAGAAGAAAACAAAGAGACAGAAAAGCCCAAGCCCTGTGGGAAATCACGGTGCGACCTGCGCAGCGCCTGGCCTGAGGGGCAGGCAGGTCCCGCGGCCCCGTCCTGTGGTTTGGGGGCTCAGCATGGAATAGCGCGTCGTGGGGCTTCCTCCGTGTGTGATTTCCACAGAGTTTATCTAGTCAGAGAGCAGCAGGCTATAAAGTAAAATCTGTAATAAATCAGTATCATGATTATACAGTATTGGCTCAAGTGAAGTTTTCTGTGTTTTTATTAGTGTTAAGTTAGTGGAACTATATTTGCAGTACCAGCTTTGGAAATGTAGAAGATTCTTATTTTGATTTTGATTTTAACTGTTTATTACTATTTAAAATGTTTTTCCTTAACTTTTTCACATTTTTATAAGTTTAGCACAAACTATGAAGACTCTGAGGCTAAGGAAGAACATGGTGAAATTTTCTTTATATAGGCACTTTACAAATACTCTGATCTTTGCGGTTCTGGGTAAGTGTCGACCTTTTCTTATTGTAGTAAATTATTTCAGGATGACTTTTCCTTCAAATGTGACTTTTTGGTGTGTTTCAGCTTCTGTAGTGTTTATGGTGTGGACAACTAAGACATTTAGATTTGCAAAATGTCGATCAGTAAGTATAATCTATTAAAATGGTTTTCATTTTTAATTATACTATTTTGTTTTGTGTCATTTTAAAGAATTTAGTTTGTCTTTGTAAATTAAAGTACTTCTAGAGGAGATTTTCTGCTTCCCTTGAATTATTTTATGTAGAATTATAAAAACTGTTGTTGCCCCTTCAATGAATCTGAAAAGCTTCTCCCAAATCTGCTTTTCCAGTTTCGCTCTTTTCTCAACTTCCAAAGCAGATTTTGAGAGATGATTCTCTACTGTATATTTTAAGGTAACAGGAAATCCTTTTCTTCCTGCAAACCGTGAACTTGGGCTGTTCTATATCTAACGGGACTGTAAGCCACAGATTCGCAAGTAAGAAGATCTATTTCTTAGCCTGAAACTCTAACAGACCCTCTTTTCGGGTCATCTTGATTAGGAGCTCATCTTTACTTCTGTGTGAACGGCTGTGAATAGCCCCCTGAAGGTCCTGGACCTCTGTTGTCTTAGGGATGAGTTAATGAGATAAGACACTGACTTTTTAGAATTCTTTTTTCTCCTTCCTGCACCTCAGTATTTTTTGCTTGGAGTCCTAAGGATATCTTTTGGATTTTTATTTTTGTTTTCTAAATCTTTCTGTTAACCCAAAATGTTTATGGAAGGGAATGTTTATAATGTGAAACAGCCCTTTAGAAACATTTCAAGCATATATGATAAAATCTCTTGTCTCACTAAAAGCAGAACAACCTACTGCAAAAAGTACTGCATTGATATTTTTGCATCATGGACACTAATGTCAGAAATACAGCAGGCCCTCTTTATCTGAGGGGAGCACATCCCAAGACCCCCCAGTGGACACCTGAAACTGGATAGTACCAAACTCTATATATACACTATGTTTTCTTCTATACATATATACCTGTGATAAAGTTTAATTTATAAATCAGGCACAGTAAGAGCTTAACAACAATATCTAATAATATAATAGGACAATTATATGTAATAATGTGAACATGATCTTCTCTTAAAATTTGTTTCGAATTGTTTATTTCTGGACTTTATATTTTTTGGACTACAGTTGACCACAGATAATGAAAACCATAGAAAGCAAAGGGGCAGCTAAGAGGGGACTATGCACCCATTCTCAGCTTGATTCTAATTCCGCTGTTAACCCGCCCCGTGTCTGTTCTCATGTAGAAAATAGATTAAATGATCTCTGAAGTACCTTTAGCTCTTACTCTTTCTATGGTACTACACCATAAAAGGATTTTATTCATCTGATTGGCTATGAAGCTGAAGTAAGCATTGATGTTGATTTTAGAAAGATTAACATTTCTTAGTTTTTATGTTTCTTTTAAAACTGTACTTATTATTTGGAAGACTTAACTGATTGGAAAAAATTCATTAGTGCTTGTGATTGTACACTATTTGAATTAGAAATCTGTGTATTTATGTTTATCAGAAAATTAACTTTTTGTGTTTGAATTGTCCTTATAGGACTGGATGGAAAGTTGGGTTGATGGTGCGTTTTGGAGCTTCCTTTTTTCACTTATCCTCATTGTAATAATGTTTTTGTGGAGACCGTCAGCAAATAATCAAAGGTACCTAACATAGGAGAAGTCAAGTTTGGCAAGCATTTGTTGATCGCCTGCTACACTTTACAACACGTTTATAGAGACTGTGGGGAGTACTGTTTATAGCGTACTCCATGCTTGTCGGGGGGGTACAGTCAAGCAGGGAGGCACCCAGAGCAGATGCAAAACGGTGAAATCAGAGCTGTGTAAAGGGAGTCCAGGCGGCTCACAGAGGTGGGGTAAGGACGACTCCAAAAGGCAGCTTTTATGTTTCACCTTAAGGAAAGGGGCAGGGCAGTAAGAGACAGGGCTGGGGAAGACCGGAAGTACACTTCTGGAGTAGGAGGGAAATGAGGTATGCTTTGGAGGTCATCGAGGCCTGCAGTGTGCTTAATGCTACTTACTCTGGGACCACAATCAAGAAGAGCATGAATGCTAAGTTCAGAAGATTGTGCTTTAGACAACATGCGACGGGGAGCCCCACCTTCCTCGTCTCATTCCTCTTCCCCAAGAAAAACACTATGAGGGGAAAATATACAAGTGTGTACCAGTCATACAAGAATAATAATACATGCATACATGCATGTATATACTACTCTGCACCTTGTTGGAACGTACCCACATCATCCCATGTAGATCTTCCACATTACTTTTTTCTTTTTTTCTTTAAATCTCACCTGAGGATATGTTTATTGACCTCAGAGAGAGAAGAAAGGTTCGGGGGGAGAGAGAAAGAAACATAGATGTGAGGGAGAAACATGAGTCGGTTGCCTTCTGTGCACACCGCGACTGGGGATGGCACCCACGGCCTTTTTGGTATACAGGACAATGCTTCAGCCAGCGGAGCCACCTGGCCAGGGCTTCATGGCTATATGGCATTCCATTTTATGAAGGTAGCATAATTTATTAAGCAGTTCCTGAGTATTAGACACTTTGTTTTTAGGGTTTTTTTCCTGCTATTACTATCAGCAGTGCTTTCTGACTGCTATTGGACCTAGTAAATGTGGCTTAGTCATGTGCTTTATTTTCACCTATCGGATTAGCAGTTTCTTTTTTGTGAGGGCATGAGTTAAAAGGTGTGGGGAGGGAGGCAGACCCTACCTGGAGAGGAGCACAGCAGGCAGGCAGGCCCCTCCCTGAACATGACGTGTTGCAGAACTGCTCTCCAGACAGATCCCACTTGTTTCTGCTCTTGCCAGCAGGGCTGGGGGCACTTAGGTTCACTGTTCTTCACAATAACCTTTCTATTTGAGCATAAAATAATTAAATTTTATTTTAATTTATGAAAAACTCAAAGTTTTAGATTTGCTTCTGTGCAGTGACCCTTTTAGCCATAATTGAAAATTGAACAACCTTAAACACACTGGTAGAACAACTTTTTGTTTATGACATAGGTATGCCTTCATGCCCTTAATAGATGACTCTGATGATGAAGTTGAAGAATTTACAGTAACATCGGAAAATTTAAGTGAGTGAGATGTTTCTTATCGAATGACCATGTGTATATTATAACAAAGAATTATTGTACCTTTACCTGTGATGCTCAAGGTCAGATACTTTTTTCTTATAAAATATTTTTAAACTATATCTGTGGAAGCCTCTATTATGCTAGATACTCATAAGAAGAGAAGTCAGTAATGAAATATTCAAGATTATTAATGTAATTTGAGCTTTTTGTTACTGGCTTGCTCTGAGTATTGAGGTAGGCACACTGATTTTCACAAGCGTGGTTTGGTATATATTCATCTTGGTGATTAATCAATTTCTTTCAGTCACCTCTTCTTGCTCTTTAAAATTAGACACATCTGTAATTTCCTGGTCATACCCAAAGCATTTCTTATTATGTTTTTAGTGCTAATTTCATCTTTCTATTAGTTTCTACAAAGCATTTTATCATTTTGTTAATTTCACCATAGTTATTATGTTATTATTTATTACAGTTATTAGTTATTACAGTTATTATTTCACTGTAATCAGTTATCGGAGGGCCTGCTAGAACACAGTGCAGCACCTCTCAGAGGAAGGTGAGAGAACCCAGAGCCTGTGCGGTCACTGCCAGTGCCCAGCGCCCAGCGTGCGGTAACAGCGGTAACAGAGTAGCAGATGTGGGACTGGAAACCGTCACCCGTAGTTAGCGGAACATCCAGTTAGCAGAGAACTGGAGGTGGCACAGATACTACATTTAGGAGGAAAGAACTTTAGAAATAAGTATTACAAATGTATTAAAGAATCTACAGGGATAGATTGGTGAAGACCAGGTAAATTTCAGGAGACATGGAAACTTTTTTAAAAAAAGAGAAGGAGCAGAACGAGGAGAAGGAAGGAGAACCAAATAGAAATACTATTAACACTTCTTTTCAAAACATATATTATTCCTTGTGGACTTATTAAATATGAGGCCATGGAGGAAAATATTTTATAATTTTAATATATTTATCTCTATAATATTTCTTATTGTAGCTGAAGGAATAAAATTAAGAACTTCAAAAACCATTTCCAATGGAACAGCCAAACCCGCTACTTCTGATAACTTTGTGAGTAATGTACATATTTAATAGTCTTGGTCTTTAATAATTCAGAAATTTATGTATCAGACTGAATGCTGAGAGCCAAAAATTAATGCAAATCAATATTCTTGCATTTTTCTACTGTATAGGTCTACTCTTTGTATTTTTTTTCTCTTCAGGACAAAAACAACTGGGCATCCCACTAAAACCAAGAATACAAAATTAAAAATCTAAATTTTTGTTTGCCTCTTTAAGAAAATACTGGCATAATTTCTTTGTGGCATAAGTGACAATTTCTTAGGATATATAGAATTTTAAAATGACATGCATTTGATTTTAAATACTTAAATTTTATATATATTCTATTTTTAAATTCCATTTTCAAGTAATATTAAACAATATGTAAATATGTAATATGTGAATGTTTATTAATATGTAAATTTTTCTGCAGGATGAAGACTTGAAGTGGGTGGAAGAAAATATTCCCTCCTCATTCACAGACGTGTAAATATCCTATTGGAGTTTGAATCTAAATTTAGGCTCAAATGTGAAGAGATAAGTTCATACTTTGTCACGTGCTTTTCAGACCTCACAGCTCCACGGTTTTATAGCCCCTTTCATTAGTAAATGACTGATTTACTTCATGTCGAATTGCAGAGAAAACATAGCCTTGCCTTGATCTGTCTTTCTCTCTCCCTTTTCTTTTTTTAAGTTATTTAGTTTTTTGTTCTGTTTTTTCCATTACCATTTATCCCCATTATACCCTCTTCTACCTCCACCCTCCACTCCCTCCACCCTCCTCTCTTCCCTTCACAGTGTCGTCCATGTCCGTGAGTCCTTTTTCTCTTTTTCTCAATCCTTCCACCCTGTACCCTCTCTACCCCTCAGCTGTCATCCTGCCCTCTCTCTATGAGTGTGTCTTTATTTTGCTAGTTAGTTCAGTCTGTTTGTTAGATACTGCAGATGAGTGAAATCATATGGTATTTGTCTTTCTCTGACTGGCTTATTTCACTTATCATAAAGTTCTCCAGGTCCATCCATGCTGTCACAAAGGGTAAAATTTTTCTTCTTTTTCATTGCCAAGTAGTAGTCTACCGTGCAGATGTCCCATAATTGTTTTATCTACTCATCTACTCATCTACTTGTGTTGCTTTCAGATCTTGGCTATTGTAAATAACACTGCAATGCACACAGGAATGCACATATTCTTTCAAATTAGTGTTTCAGGTTTCTTCAGATAAATTCCCAGAAATGGAATCGCTGTGTCATAAGGCAGCGTTAATTTTCTTGAGGTATATCTCCTTACTGCCTTTGACGGTGGCTGCATCAATCTGCATCCCCACCAGTAGTGCACAAGGGTTCCCTTTTCTCCTTGCCAGCACTTGTTGTTTGTTGATTTATTGATGACAGCCATTCTGACAGTCTTATTGTAGTTTTAATTTGCATTTCTCTGATGATTAGTGACATTCAGCATCTTTCCATATGTCTATTGGCCATCTGTATGTCCTCTTTGGAGAAGTGTCTCTTCAGGTCCTTTGCCTATTTTCTAATTGGATTGTCTGTCTTCTCCCTTTTCCACTGTACAACAACTATTTTAATATTTGTACCCTGTTACCAACCCCAGCCTTTTCTGATCTTTGTTTCTAAGATTGAATTAATTGCATTTTGTTTTAACTTTTTATTTTGGAAAAGTTCAAACACATGTAGAACACTTTTCTTTAACACATAACCACGCTATGGTGTATGGCGGGAAAGCTTTTGGAAGAAAAACGTGAGCACAGGAAAAATAGAGTGCAGGTGAAGCCCCGTGGGGACTGCGAACTCTTCAGGGTCTTCATCAGGGTTCCGCTTAACAATAGGATTTCAGAGCCAGTTCCGCAGCGGAAAATAGTCAGGACAGACAGATAGGATGTTTTCACATGCTGTCCCTTCCTTTTCCCTTGCCCATTTGCTTCCTGTTTAGGCAGTTCCTGCTAGTGTGGCACTCTAATTGCCTGAAGAATACCCTTCATGGCAGTGCAGGTATCCTGGCAATGATCTGTCAGGTTTCATTGTCTGAAAAAGTTTTTGTTTTAGCTTTTTTGAAAGGTGTTTTTGCTGGGCATAGAATTCTTTGTTTTTTCTCTTAACACTTCAAAGATTGTTACTTGATGTCCTCTAGCTTTCATAATTTCAGAAAGAAGTCTGGTTTAGTTCTTCCTTGTTCCTCCGTATTTTACTTGGGTTTTATTTGTGGAATTTTTGTTTTGTTTTTTGTCTGCCTTCAGGATTTTCTCTCTTATCTTTGGTTTTCATCACTGGGAATATGGTGATTCTTGGTATTGTATGGGCATATATTTTCTTTTTTTTTGGTATATACCTAGAAATGGAATTGCTAGATCATATGGTGAGTGTATGTTTAATATTTTGGAGAAATGCCAGGCTGTTTTCCAAGCAGCTGAATCGTTGTTATTCCTGCAGTAACTTATGAGGCTTTTAGTTTCTCCACATCCATATCAACATCTGTTAATTGCTCACCTTTTTTGGCTTGAGGTCTTTCAGTGGTTATGAAGTGGTATCTTGTGCTTTTTGGTAACTGAAATTTGAACTGTCCTGTTAAGGAACTAGTGTTACTTAACTAAACTATAGTAACTGAAATTCACACACATCAGATTCATGCAAAGTGGGGACAACATATATATTATACTAACAATACACTACTATATTTTTTTATAGAAAAGCAAAGTAGACGTGTATATATTCTTTTATATTTATCCATGCATTTCCTAGTACTTCTTTCCTTCTTATGTGTCTGAGTTATCACCATCTCCTGTAGGTCTTTATTATTTCTTACAGTATATCTCTGCTGGAAACATTTTCTCAGTTTTATTTATATGAAAATGTATTTGTTTGCCCTCCTTTGTTTATAAAGTAATTTTTCTAAAGACTTTATTCACTTATTTTTAGAGACAGGGGAAGGAAGAGAGAAAGAGGAGAGAAACATCAATGTGTAGTTGCCTCTTGCGTGCTCCCCACCAGGGACTTGGCTTGCAACCCAGGCATGCGCCCTGACTGGGAATTGAACTGGCGACCCCTTGGTTCTCAGGCCAGCACTCAGTCCACTGAGCCACACCAGCCAGGGCTCTTTACCCTCCTTTCTTGAAGGATAGTTTTGCTGGATACAAAAACCTTGGTTGACTTTTGTTTGAACACTTCCAGCATGTCCTTCCAGTACCTTCTGTTTCTATAGTTTTTGTTGAGAAGTCAGTCTTCTTATACTTTTGTTCTCTTGTGTGTAATGTGTATTTATTTTACTGCTCTTCAGATTCTTTTTTTTTTTGTATTTGGCTTTCCGCAGTGTCTTTGTGATGTGCTTAAATATGGTTTTCTTTATGCATATTCTCCTTGGAATTTGTTGAGCTACTTGGATCAGTATACTCACTCCCCTTGGTTATTTTGCAGTTCCATCAACTACTTGCATTTAATAATTTTATCCATGTTTATATACACCTTTTTGTGGGAGGAATCATCTGATCTTTTCACCTTTACCTCCCATCTTCCATTCTCACCAGTTTCTCTATAATCATTTTTACTTCTTTCTTTACATCATTTTCATTCTCTTAGTTCTGTGGTAAGATCATTCTCTTACCACATATTACATTTTTATTTATATTTATTCTTCCATAGGAACCTTGCTATTTTCTCATTGTAGGTATGATTTTGTCTTTTCCTTTAATTATTTTCCTGAGTTTGAGTAATTCTTTGAAGATTTTCTTCCTCTTTTATTTTTATCCATTTTTGTTCTTGGTTTTTAAACTTTTTTTTTCTTGGGGGGGGTATTTTTTTTAACATTTTTTTATTGATTATGTCATTACATTTGTTCTATTCCCCCCTCCTTTCCCCTCCACCCTGCACACACCTCTCCCACCATTAGTTCATGAACACGTCTCAAGTTCTTTAGATTCTGTATTTCTCCTACTATTCTTACCCTCCCCCCTATCTGTTTTCTGTCTACGTCTGTGCTACTTATTTTCTGTACCTTCTCCCCCCTTCTCCTTCTCCCACTCCCCTGTTGCTAATCCTCCACATGATCTTCATTCCTATGGTTCACTCCTGATCTAGCTATCCTCTTAATTTGCTTTTGTTTTAGGTGTGGTTCTCAATAACTGTGAGTTTGCAGTCCTTTCACTGTTCATCTTTTTTATCTTCTTTTTCTTAGGTAAGTCCCTTTAACATTTCATATAATAAGAGCTTGGTGATGATGAACTCCTTGAATTTGGTCTTATCTGAGAAGCACTTTTTCTGTCCTTCCATTCTAAATGAAAACTTTGCTGGATAGAGCAATCTTGGTTGTAGGTCTTTGGTTTTCATGACTTGTAATACTTCTTTCCAGCCCCTTCTTGCCTGTAAGGTCTCTTTGGATAAATCAGCTGACAGTCTGATGGGAACTCCTTTGTAGGTGACAGTCCCCTTAGCTCTTGCTGCTTCTAGGATTTTCTCCTTCATTTTAATCTTGGTTAATGTAATGATGATGTGCCTTGGTGTGTTTCTTCTTGGGTCCAACTTCTTTGGGACTCTCTGAGCTTCCTGGATTTCCTGGAAGTCTATTTCCTTTGCCAGAATGGGGAAGTTCTCTTTTACTATTTGTTCAAATAGGGTTTCCACTCGTGACTGTTCCTCTTTCCCCTTCTGGTACCCCTATAATTCGAATGTTGGAGTGTTTAAAGATGTCCTGGAGGTTCCTAAGCCTCTCCTCATTTTTTTGAATTCTTGTTTCTTCATTCTTTTATGTTTGGTCATTTTTTCCTTCCTTCTGGCCCACTCCCTTGATTTGAGTCCCAGTTTCCTTTCCATTACTGTTGGTTTCCTGTGCATTACCAATCATTTCAATTAGTTTAGCCTTCATATGTTTCTCTAACTTGTGACTATAATCAACCAGTTCTGTGAGCATCCTGATCACCAGTGTTTTAAACTGTGCATCTGAAAGTTTGGCTATTTCTTTATCACTTAGATTTATCGGCTCTGGGGCTCTGAGTTGTTCTTGAGCCATTTTTGGTCTGTTCATGCCGATTAAGTATGAGGAGCGAAGCCTTAGTTGTTTACCAGGGCGGGGCCACTCAGGTCGCTGGTTTGTGACGCTGTATGTGGGGGCGGGGTCAGAGAGGGAGCAATGACAGTCCTCTCCGCTCGCCAGTCCGTCCCACTACCCCCGCCTGTTTATCCGAGCAGAAATGTGCCAGCCCGCCACCCTGCACCGTGCGGTCTCAATGCTCACCTCTTCACTATTTTATCTGCACGCAAATGCTCCACCGACCGCAGCCAGCCAGCCGCGCCTCTTCCCCATGTCCGCCCGTAGCCAGCCCCCACCGCACCTGGGATCTGCGCCTTTGGCTGCTTGTGCACCACCCGGTTGGGATCTTTTTTGCCAACTCGCTCTGCTGCTGGCTTCCCTCCTCTCACCGGTTTAGCTGAGCATTTCATTGTCTTTGGACTCCGTATTGTCGATTTTCTGTGTGGTTTGGTTG